ATTGTGTTATGCAGTTATTTTTATTGTGATTCAGCTCAGTAAGGACTATCTTGGCACCAGTTATGTGAATCATGCTGCATGTCGATAACACAAGCTGGGGACTGTGGTTTGTATAGCCTGTCTGTAACCACACAGCTGTGTAGCAAAAGTTCAGTGCACAACTTCACCGAAACTGTCTGTGAATCTAGATGCAAGACATAGGTTTTGTGACTAATCATGTGATTTTTCTTTTTCTTTCTTAATGAATTGATGAAAAACTACAGAAACAGTACATCAAACAGCTGTTATCCTGTTTGTAAATTTAGGTTTTCTGCTGCTGCGACCTTCCAACAGACAAGGTTTTCTGTTTCCATCTAAAGCTTTGGGTTTACAAGTGAAGTTGACAAGGTTGCCATGAGCCTCTTAAACTGTGAACAGGAAGGGCAAGTGCTAAAGTGCTTGAGGGCAGATTTCTATGGTTGAGTGTCTTGACAGATGAAAATGGAGTAATTGCACAGGACTCAGCCCAGGCAGTGGGAGTTCTAAGCTACAAACCAAAGAATTAAAAAGCTCTTATTACCATCATGTTACATTGTTTTTTAAGGGCTAACACTTGGGTCATTTCAAAGCAGGCCTGCCATTTTTGGAATCAGAATCAAATATTTAGAGCCATTGTATGATTACGAGTAAGTTTTCTGGCACCACTTCTCCTCGCTCTTTTACTGAAATGGCCTCAATAAAGTTATTCACCGTTAATTTTTGTTGGAATGGGTCCATGGAAAATGAGGAACTTTGAAAGTCTGAGGTGTATAGGGTAAACATACATTAAAAACATGTTTTTCTTCCGCTGCCTGCATGGTTTGTAGCTAAACCCAACAATATTCAAAGAGTTGAAACCAGGAAGCTCTGTAGCTCACATGTAAAAGGGTGACCCCACAGATCCAGTAAGCCCTCACAGACACTAAACAGTACAGAAATAATCTGCTGTGAGAAATGCATCGGCTCAAAACCATATGTATAAAACAGCAAATGTTCACTGACATGTCATAGTTTATAAGTGTCATAGTTTCTAAATAATACATGGATTATGGTCTGGATTCTCTGAAGCTCTTTTCCACAAGGTAGAGTGGCGGAGGGGTCATAAAGTGGAGAGGCCCGCCTAATGAATTGAAATACAAAGGACATACAGCAGCCAAAAATCACTATAAAAACAAAGACTAATTTATAAATAAAAAGTGTTTTTCACTCTGTTAACCTATTATGTTTCTGCCCATCCTGCATGTTAAAATGTCCAAAGATCTATCGACCCAGCAACCCAAACATTCTGCTAACAAATGGCGTATAACTGATCTCTTACATATTAAATCATTAACCTTTTATAAGGGATTTCTTTATTAGAAAACTGCAACAAAATGTGACTGCATGTCTGTGGAAAGGGCTATTTGTGCATGCTACAGTAGCTCAAGTCACCCACTGCCGACACTCTTTCCGTCTAATGTTTCATTGAGAGAATTTAACATTTGGGATTTATATAACCAAAAAAAACGTACGCGATAAATTCAACTCCAAATGCACGTAACTTACAGGAGCTAGCTAACGTAAGCCAGAATTTTAAACTGCAGTGTGAAAAACAGCATTAGATAGTGACTTAAGACGAATGCGCAACTCTTTCAATAATTTATCCATTTGCACGTATATCTTGCAGTGTGGTTGGAATAAAACAGAAGAATGATTAGAAGGGTTTGAATGGAGTTTGGCAAGAGTGAGAAATTTTAAGTGCTCACCCTCCACCTCTCATCATCCACCCCCACACGCTCCCTCGAATGTCTATACATACACACAAACACACAGATGTCAGAGAGGTCTGAGTGACTCTACCTCTGTCACTGGGTGCCTGCTGTGAAAACAGCACCCCCTCCCTCCCCTGGCTCCTCTCCTCATCCCCTCCCCTCTCTCCCTCTTCTCTGGACGCCAGCCTGACATACCAGACCTTGTTCGTTAGCACATATTTTTACCCACCGTTACTAAATTAGGAAGCCAGAGGGAGCAAATGGAGTGTGGCTGCCAAGGCAGAAGAAGAAGGGTCTGATCAGGCCTGGGTTTGCTGAGGGCCCATGCCAACCCTACCAGCTTCATTAAGAGCCACTTGGGTTTCAGAAATAGAAGCCCAACAGGGACCGGGGCCAAACAGAGCCCTGAATGGCCAGCCAAAAACTCACGGGACAAACAAACAAATAAACGGGTTGTCTCATGGCCTGCCAGAATCAACCGGCAGCAGCCATCCCAAGGAGCCATAAGAAGTTATCTTAGGCAGTCTTGCACACAAAATGTGCCCTGCCCCGAGTTTAAAAGTGGTGACAGTACACATACTGCCAGCCCGATACAGAATAAATTAACCTAGAAAGCTGTCTCCGGAGACCAATTTCTCAAAGCAGCCACAGAGACATTACTTCTTGTTTATTTGGCATGGATTCTGGGCACTGATGTAAGAAAGGATATTTTCACAAGGAAATGTACATTTCCTCTTCTCCCTATTGGTATATAGCATTAATGTCTGAAGTACAGAATGATGTGGAACACAAGTATTCCTTATCTGTATTTTTAAAAGCATGATTTATTTTAATTCTGAAAAGCCTTACAGTTTTGAATCTCCATTTACACTTACAATTCAGATCTACAACAAAATTGTATAAACAATGTTATAAAATGGATGAATATTGTACAGCACTGAAACAAATCTGTAAACTCCTTGCTATATAATAAATAATTAAATAGAAGGGAAAACATGTTTCTCTCTAGAAGATTTAATCTGTTTCATTTGGACAGAAGACAGAGCCTGTGAGCAAATAGCATGTATTCATAGCAGTTTCAGAGAACCACAAACAATTAGAAAACACTGTAGGAAAAACTGGTCTTTTACAAAAGGTTTCAGGATCATTGTTTACCATTTCATCTGAGTGGCACCATTCAACCTGTCCACTACTGTGACTTCCATCCATTTAGCACCCACCCATTAAAACTAATGAGCTATTAACATCTGACTTTAAACAACTTTAAGGTCAATCAATGCTGCCACTCCCAAACAGTATATTAACCAATAAGGATGCAGAGAATGTGTGGCCCTAATTTCCATAAATTATGGTTTTGATTGACAGCGCTGTATATTTTTCTTCTATTCATGTGTATGCTTTTATTTATATGGCCCTTTCAGGTGACATCATAAAATACTTGATGTGTGGCGCACGTGTAGGTGACATAATTACAGTTAACTTAAAAATAAGTAACATCTTCAGAGGTCTGAGAAAACATGAAATAAATGGTCTGATAAGTGCTGAGGACGCAGTTTGAATAATACTGAAAAAAGAGATGAGCCCTAGGGTTTACACATTGCCAGTTTAACACTTTGATGTGTGCATGCCCTTAGGAGAGGGCAAAATCCCAGCCATCACTTCTTAAAAGAACACAACAATATTATAATTCAGCCTTGAGTACAAATGTAAAACCTACCACATAACTGGGACCATTACTCTTGTGTTACTATGCTGACACCTTGTGGAAATATCAGAATACTGCAATTCATTCAGACTTTGCATTGCATGGCATTTCAAAGCTGTGCCTTGAGAAACAAGTAATTAAGGAATTAAAATGTATAATGTTTACAGCGTTTGCAAGTGAGAAAAGAACTTTAACTCTCCTCCAGCTAAACTACCAGACACACATTTTCCACATTCATGCTGGATCTAAATAAACCAAAAACAACACTAAAAACGACAAAGATTTTGATATTGCTGTTTATTTATTCTCTCTCTGTTCATAAAATCCAAGGGTTTGTTTATATTCTAGTACAACACTTACTTCTATTGATGATGATGATGATGATGATGATGATGATGATAATAATAATAATAATAATAATAATTTCTTACTTTCACAAGCTACTCATTGTAGTTGTCATAGTAGTACAGAATCAAGTAACGATGTGTCTAATTTGAATTTCTCCTATGGGGGATCAATAAAGGTACATCTTATCTTATCTTAACTTGTGACCAACGTGGCCAGATCAACCTGCGGAGGGCCCCAGGGCAAAAATGAAATGATGGGCCCCTTAAAAAATGAAGGATTTGAAACTAGATTTTAACACAGGGGCCCTCTTCAGGACAGGTATTTGGTCCAGTGTGTAACATTTATGAGTATCTAAAGGCAGAAATGACTATTATTGGAATAAAAATAAAAATAGGTATGTTTTCATATAATCACCTGAAAATAAGTAAATCGTTGTGATTTTATACCTTAGAATGAGACATTTTTATCTACAGGGGGAGCGGGTCCTCTTCCACACGGGCCGCCATGTTGAACCGCCATGTCTCTACAGTAGCCGAGAATGAGTAGCTCCAAAAACTATAGACTCACAGACCAGTCTCTAAATATTGAACTCAATAGAGACCGACGACTGTCTCCTAGTTTTTGTTACTAAAACTGTGTGGAAACAATTCGAGTTTAAAAAAGATCTGCAATTACGCTGCTAGATGCCTCTAAATCCTACACACTGCTACTTTAATCAGACCATAATCATTTCATTTATTGGGCTTTACTGCTGCATAATCCCAGACAAATTATCAATTAAAAGTCCTGCACACACTCACAGGTGCTTCCAATTATTCTGGTTAATTAGACTCGAACTTTGTCTGGTTTGGGAATAACCTCATATCGACAATCTCTATTTTTAAGTTGACTAGTAACAATAATAACAGCGCAACAAAACAAAAAAAAAAGAGAGAGAAAAGATAATAAAGTTAGAGATACTCTCAAAGAAGCTGTACAGTCTTGAGAAAATGTCTTATATTGCCTGGAGAAAATTGAATTACCCTGTAACACTTTAAACACTAATATCCTAGCCTTTTGTTGATTTACGTCTCGGTTTTGTTTTGTTTATTAAAATCACACTGTAAAATCAACAAGAGACGTTACACTCGAGTTATTTAAGAACAGCGCGGTTCTTGAATGCACCCCACTTCCTTCCCACTATACGCCTGTGTATGTTCAGGAAAGGATTTACCACAGTGATGGATACTGTAGTTCACCACAGCCTGTCACGTAAAGTAGTGTTTTCGGTTATTTTAAGCCATTGGCAGTATACATATGTTTTAAGCCCAACCATTAAATTCCGCCATTGAACCAACGGAGTGGAAGAGCAGCAGTAGCACGCGCACTGTAACCACGGAAACAAAAAGAAAACGTAAAGAACACAAACGCGGATGACGCTGTTAACGTTAGCTAGCTGCATCCATAGACTGTATAAAACGGTTAAAAATAACCCCTTAATGTTACCTTTCACACTGACTGTTTATTTAAAAAAATGGCTGATGATCACGCAGTGACAAAAACACGACCAAATTCCTCCCAGTCTCCTGCTGAGTAAGTGATTTCTTCTTACTAACGTATAGTTTTAGACGTTAGATGTTCATGGTCCTCACCGAACACAAGGGAAAATGAGTATTAACTGTATTAACTCCCGTGTGTGTGTGTGTGTGTGTGTGTATCTTTATCTATAAAGTCTATTTTATAGGTTTTTAGGAGCCAACAGGCGTGTCAGATTCCAAAAGTTTGCAAAAAGTGTTTTCCTCAAATGTGTTTAAAAAACTGTTGTGACTTACCTTTTTTGACAGCATGGGAAGGACCAACGGGGCCATGAATGCATCTCCTCTCTGTGACTCAGATGTGTTGAGCCCCTCACAAACAGGATATGCAAAGAAGGAATTTATTATGATGCCACCTGAAGAAAAGCTCAAACACTTCTCCAGCCGAGCTCAGGCCCACGAAGACAACCAGGAGGTTGGTACAGTAAGTTAGGTATAGGCTGACACATTTATATAATGCTCAATGTTAGTGTTCTGCAGCTGCTAGTGCTCAGAAGATGTGTGAACACAGACTGTTTTCTACAGACTTTACTCTTGTTGACAGAGCTGATGCTTATTCATGAATCTGTACAAGCTGTATGCACACCAGTAAGGCTGCAAGTAATTATCACTGACTATGTTTACATGGTGGATAAGGAGGAGAAGGTGTTTACATGCCACACTATCCTGTTGTTTTATCAGATTAGGTACTTATATCCAAGGTAGCATACAAAACAAGATAGGGCCTTATCCAGGTGTTTGAAACCAGGGTACGATGTTTACATGAACAACATCTTGTTTCTGGGTTACTGCAAAAATCTGTCATAACCAGAATATAAATATATATCATATGAAGGCAATTCAATATTGATTTTTAAATAATGGATTTTGTCCATACAGTGATTGAAAAGTAGTAAACATACATGTCGATCATTACCAGCCAGAAAAAAACCCAGTTTAAAATGATATTAAAAACATAAATAAAAGCAATACATCCTCAAATCCAAGAAGCTGGAACCAGTGACTCTTTGCTTTTAATGCTTGAGAACTGACTTAAACAATTTATTATCAAATTTGTAGGCAATTCAGAAAAAGTGATACTCGCACTCATTCACTGTATCTACTCAGTTTGATGCCTGCATCCAGGACCTTGTGCGCTGTGTGGCTCTGACTAGGCTAGTATATGGCGAAGGACATCTGAAACTAGCCCAGGCCCATGTGCGACTGGCTACAGCATATTTCCAGTTCAAAGGTAATTAAAAAAATATAAGGTGAGCACATTGTAAACGTTAAGTGCAGATTATGAAATGCATTATCAGAAAAAAAAACACTTAAGACAGATTCACATTGTCATTGTCACCTATAATTAATACACCTATTATTTGATCTTTTTTAAACCATGACAGATGACTTATCTTAGAATATAATATATAAAAGTGTTGTCAATGTAAAAAAATTTTCAAAACAGAATACTTGAGCTCAGTATGATACATCCATGTAGCTGTCCATGGTTTATAGTGATTTATCTACTACATTAGTGATTTTTCATGTTACTTTGCTCTAATAACTAATAACAGCTAATGAAAGTATTGCTATAACTGGGGATGGTGTTAAAATTATGTCTAGAGTTAAATTGCTGTTTACACTCAATGGTGGCTCTTTGTTCCCCTTCAGGCTTTGGACTGCAGGCCCAGGAGCACTTGGCGCTTGCCAGAGAGCTTCTGCCTTACTGCTCCTCCATCTCCTCCTGCAGGGAAGAAAAGCTGGAGGTTCTCACGTGTCTCCTGAGCGTACATCTCACACAGGGAGGTGCCTCGCTGCTTATGGACAAATATCCTTGATTCTTGCCATGATATCTTTTACATTAACGTATGGGATTGAACAGAAATATCAGCTCTAATAACACACTGAATAAGTCCTTAACTCTTTTAAACTCTTGAGGATGCAGAAAACTTTTTTCTGGAGACAGAAAAAGTTCTTGAGGACCTTCATCAACGTGGTGGGATCAGCCAGCAAGAGAAGATGAAGACTGAGCTTGAACTCTCCACTGGTCTATCCAGGTGCAGTAGTAAAAAAAAAAAAAACACTTTACACACACACACAAGTTAGAAAAGAGGTAAATATACAGTACATTAGAGGCTTTAATGTAGCTTATAGCATGTAATAGCAGCTGCTGCTCTGTTTTTAGCGTTGCTGCCTGGTAATCAGGTGATTTGCTCTATTTATTTCCTCTGACTAATGTTCAAGCTGAGCCAGATAAGACAGGTCTTTTCAGAAGGGATTCAGCTTATAGACTGGATGATTTTTCACCAATTATAACTAAATATTTGTTTTTCTAAAACACTCCCAATTTTAAATGCAGAAGTTTACATTTAAGTTTGTCCACAAGATGGCAATATATTCCTGCAAATCTGTATAAAAACCAACCTTTCTTGTGGTTTTTGGGAAGCAGGGTTTGTTTTGCTGACTAAGTTATGCTGGTAAAAATTCCATTATTTCATGGTTTCTTATAAACAACAACTCAACAAATCAGGATTTTCCCATACTGTTGTTTTTCAGGCAGTCAGTGTCGGTGTTTTGTAATGATGCTTACAGACCTGCTGGGTGGGGTTCCTGCATGTCCACTCATCCAGTCACTGCCCAAGCAGAGGAACAGATTGGAGAGAAGCATTTCTCCTCCTTTTTAAAAGCTTTTCCCCCTTTTCATCGCTCGCTTTCTGCCTTTTTTCCTCTAGCTTTGACTGCCCCCTTAATTATTTAACACCCTCACCTCATACCACGCTTAGAGTAGATATTGCTTTTACAGTCTGGTTGATTCCTTGATAGATTGTAAAGCCCGTTATTTCTCTGTTAAATGTCAGCTGCTTTGTTTTCTTCACCCCAAGTACCATTTCCATATTATTGATCTGTGTCTACGAAATTACAATGTGCATTTGTAACCTGACGGTGGTATTGACAAAAGAGGTCCCAAGGCTCAGAAAAAGATTAAAGACTTAGTGGATCATGTGGAGACACCAGGCGCAGACATCAAGTGTAGGAGAGACTGATAGTCTGGGAACTCTGTGGCAGCCACATAGAAAATAGCAGCCACTTGTCATAGCTTAGATCACTGTGGGTAAAATTAGAAGCACAACCAGGAAATGAAGTGTACTCTTACCTGGGTTGAGATTATCCCACTAATGTTTTTATGTTAATTTTGTCAGTAGGGTAACAGTGTTTCAACAGGGGAACCAATGTTACAGGTGAGCTTTAGAACTTAAATCTTAGTCTTTGTTTGTAGGACCTCATGTTTTAAAGACCCAGTTGCTAGGTGAAGAGGAGCAATATTCCCTCAGAATTTACAGTAAACAACCGTTATCAGCAGCTGAGGTGATCTACTCTCAAAGGAATTTGTAAATTATGCCATCTTGGTCCGTTTTAGAGAGTCAGAGTTTGTTGACATGATTTGTGTAATTGAAAAAATGTGCAGACTCTGGCTGGTGTGTAAGCTTTCTAAATCTCCTTTGTTGGGTGATGACTAAGAATTTGGCATGCTTCTAAAAGCTCTGTCAGTCAACACTGTTGTGGTGGAGGGGAATGTTCCCACCAAAGCCTGGAACAATAACGTAAGCTCAGCTCTACTATAGATCCTGGTCCAAACGTTATGCTCGGTTTTAGATTCACACTCAAGGTGTGCATTTATGATCAGCCAGATGGAATCTTTTATTCAAGGAAGTTTCATTGTGTGGTTTAAATTTTGTGTGTGTCTTTGCCATGGCTGCCTTATGTTTTTGCTTCTTTATAACTGCTATCATAAATCAACATTTTAGTTGACAGATTTAATTTAATTAACATTTTGAGAATGTATTTTCTCTAGTTGAATAATAAATTCACAGAAATGTTTCCATATTTTCTCCACTCTTAACTAAATTATCATGTTCGTGCATCACATTAATTGAAATGCACTCCTTGTTTACCAGTTCTGTGCAAATAGTTTCATGGGTTTATCCCATTTCAGAAATCAGTGACCCTGTTCCCTCTAACCTTATTGTATATGTAGGCTATTGACTGGATTCACAGACACGGTGTAAATACACAGCATTGCTACTGTACGTAATAGCAGTGTAATTCTCGTGCTTTTTGCTTTCCTTCCAGATAGTTGGCTCCTATTCCAGTTGTAAAATTGTCTTTTTTTTTTGTTTTTAATGGTCATGACTGAGAGTCACTCTCCAGGACTGAACAGGTAGTTTAGTATTCTTACCCATATCTACCTAAAGCACACACTATAAAAAGCCCAATCAGTCAGTTTAAGGCACCATACAGATTTGCTGGAGCGAGTGTTTTTGTCCCTCTGTCTTCACTTTGGCTTGGCCTTACTGTATCATTTTCCGAACGAAAGCCCAGGGCAAACTTGCGTCAACTATTTTCTGGAAACGTTTACAAAAGAGGGCTGTGTGGCTTGCTTGGCAACACATCTACAAATCCTTAATTATATTAATTCCCTGCCCTGTGGACTCTTAGTAGATTTTAGTGGGATGTGGCACATTACCGTTCTGCCAGGAAGTGTGTAAGGTTGTGAGTGAATGAGAGGATAGAGGGGTATTGTCTCTGTCCGTCCATGCAGGCAGAATGGCAGGACTCAAGCCATGCAGGAATGTTGCTCTGCTTCAGCCATCGCTGCTTCCCTAAAAGGACCTGAAGGGCCTGCCCATGAACACTTATGGGCGGGGCACTCCTACCATCCATCGTGGCATGTTAGGATAGTCTTTGATTCATGGGAAAAATCAAAGAAATTAGCCATCACAATGTTTTTGTAACCTACACTGCTGACATTTAATCTCTGGGCCATGAATACCCAGATTCATGTGGTCCAGAGATGTGAGCATGACATAATACTGTAAAGCTTAGACTTTTGGTTCCCACACAGGCTAAAACATACCATGTATACACATGGTATTGGAAGGAGCGTTGGCTAAAAGCATTGTTTTACAGGTTGACTCCAGTGTTCAGAATAAGTGTAGATGAATAAATTCAACCAAGACAACCACAGACAACTATACTACGCCTGGATGTGGGAAGGCTGATTTATGAAAAGGGGTTTCCTGTTCCGCTGTGCGAGCGCTATGTAGCTAGAGATTGTACAGTAGTGAGTGTTGTGTCCTCTGAGAACGCCCCCCCTTGACTGGAGAGCTGAATTAAATTTAGAGTCCATTAGATGGTTTGAAGCTGTTAGCAGAGTAGCCTGATGGATCCAGTGTCCTTGCAGTGGTTAATGCAGCCATCGCCTCATCCTCTCTCTCTCTCTCTCTCTCTCTCTCTCTCTCTCTCTCTCTCTCTCTCTCTCTCTCTCTCTCTCTCTCCAATCTCCAACTGCATTGCTCAAAGCCCAAGCAACTTATGATAAATTGTTATAGATGTAGTACTCTGAGCTAGACCACAGTTAGATCTTCAGCTTTGCTTTGGTCACCTAATTCCCCCATCCCCTAATTTAGACACCTTAGAATGAGGGTTGAACACACAGCAGGGGTTATTTGTCTGAGAGGCTGTGGTTAATAAGAGGGGGTTAGGAACAGCTTACCCTTCACTCCCAGAGGAGATGGTTAGAGGCTTGTGAAAGGATGCAACCAAAAACAGTTAAAAGGGCAATGTGCAAGCTTTCCCTATTATAGTCTGCACTACATCAGCCTTCAACTGCAGCCTTCACCACTCTGCTGGGTCTGGGTTTAGCTAGGGACCAAACAGTTACTTCAGTGATATAAAACAGACTCATGGTAATGAAGTAACAGGCGTATGTGTCTGTACTGTATACTAATAATACGTTATATAATAAATAGCATTATTATGTGGCATTTTTCATTTTAAAAATCTGTAGTGGTTTTAGTGTGTTGCTCAAATACACTTCAGCAGAGCAAATCTTTTGCAGACAAACTTCTTGATGGGTCACTCTGTAGTCATTACTTTGCCCTGCTGCCTTATATAGTAGGCTGAACTGATGGCTGTCTTAATGTTTGTATTTCTGTCTATGACAGGCTGTCCATTTGTTTGTCCTTTCTGCTCTATAGGGTCTATAAGAGACAGAACAGACCAGAGGAAGCCTTAAGTCAGTGTCAGAAGTCTCTGCAATTGCTGAAGGACTGTGGTCAGCCAGAGAAGACTTGCTCTGTCTACAGGGACATGGCTGCCATTGAACATGACAAAGGTCATTTGGACCGAGCCATAGAGCATCTCTCCAAGGCAAGGGGCATATAACTTGCACATCATACATAACTCTTATCAAACATATATAAACACATGAAGACTTCTTGAGACTGCGCCAGGCTTTGTTGTTTGGTAATATTCCCACACCTCTTATTTGGTGATATGTGATCTTATTTTTTACGTGGGTGTTTCTGCTAGGCTCATGCCATTGCTATGAGTCACAGCCCAGAAGAGCTGGAGGGGGCTCGGCTCTCCCACAGCCTGGCCCTCATCCTTTCTGCTGCAGCAGAGCCCCATCACAATGGTGAGTTTATTCATAGACACATGCCAGGCCTGAGCAATATGCACAAGGGGTTAATTAGGATTTGAATCTCTCTTTGTATCCCTATATGTGAAATTCTTGAAGATTGCGTTATGGAAACCATATGGAGACATATAATGGTCTTATTGAAGACCTGTCCAAGTTCAGTTTTGTCAGTATGATTCACCCATGTCAACTATGTTGTGGCAAACATATGGTCCATGGTAGCTATGTAAAGCATAAAGTCTGGAAATGTTAAGGATTTATCTAGAAAAACTATTATATTGCATTGATTCTGTAGCAGAATGTGTTTTCATTTATTCTGTCAATCATTGCTGTAATTTTTTATCTATCATTTGTGTTGGTTTTCCCCATGCTGGTGTAGACTCTGCAGGTCACTACTTCGAGCAGAGTCTAAGTGCATACAGAAATTCTGCAGGTCCACAGGATCCAGCCTTTCTCGCTGCCCAGGATGATTTCTGTCGCTTCCTCCTCTGCAATGGCAAGCAAGAGGTACGCTTACAAACATACATATCACATTGAGACTCATATTTTTGTTCATGCAATTTTGAAACCCTCAGCAGATTTTCATTATCCAGACATTTTTTGGCTGTCACCATTGATGGCAAGAGATGATTTACTGTACCTGTTTACGATGTACCTTTGCAGAGATGTGTGGAGATTCAGAGAGCTTCTCTCACTACAAAAAGATCTACATTTGGTGACCTGAGTGCTGAGGTAGCAGACACCCTTCAGCTGATAGGAAGTGTGGAGATGACTGAGGGCAGGATGAAGCAGGCCCACAGGACCATGACAAAGGTAATCACAAGCTACAGAACACAAATAGCACAGCTAGTGTTTGTGTTGTAGAAATGCTGGACAGAGTAGAAGTTACTGTCTTCGAACATGACGTTGTCCCTGCCAAAGTATTTGGGAGGATTTAATTAAAGGCCAGGAGTCAGCAGGTGTGTCTTTCTACACCAGTGAGAAGCCTGATCAGAATATACACACAAAGAGTCCCTGTTATGTTGAGATGAGCTATTTCCACCGTCCTCCCTAAAGCTCAGCGCTATCAGAGTTGCATGCTAATCTTGGAAGGGTGCAGTGTGCAGAGCCGTCCTCCCTGGTGTAAGATATCACACAGAGTGACTTTGTGTTTCTTCAGTTTGGATGGAGCCTGACAGATGGGCAACACAACTTTGGAAAGCAACTGGCAGTCTGCTAACTGCTGTCAATTAAAGGAACACTGACCCCAATTAGTGTGGCATGCCATTATGTCCTTCGAAACACAAGTGACATGCGCATGTCTTTCAACTCACATACATTGAGTAAGCAGCAGCCTTTTAGTTAATGTAATCTTGTTCCTCCGCTATAGCTGTTACTATTTTACTTTATTCCTTATGTAATAAGTGTTTTTGTTTCTCACATTCAGTATGACTGCATGTTTGCCAGATGAGCTCAGTTCTGCCGCCCTTCAAACATACTAAAATACATCAGTAAATGGGGATTTCTTCATACTAGTAATGACATGCCTGTAAGTAAAGGAGCCTGGTTGCTATGTTGCTTTGTTTTGGCAGAAGGGGGTCCAAGTCCCCCTCCGCACTGACAGGGTACATGAGGGCTCACTCTCTCTACACCACGTTCGACTAATAACCTCTCTGAAGTATATCTGACACTGAGCAGATATGTCAGGACATTCGTTTCCTGTCATGGTGACACCATCTGCACTCTGACTGAGTAACTTTTGTTTTTCCAAAGGAACCCTGGCTCATAAAGTAGACAGTACATATGACTTACTGTGAAAACACAGAGAACAATGGCACACACACAACATACACTTGACGTTCACCCCTTCCTCTGTAGGGCTGCTGAAAAAAGGCCTTCCATTACATCAACCTTAGCAACAGTGAAAACATCCAAGAGGCCAGATGGATCTGTTCCAGATTACCGAGTGTTTTACTTTCCCTGGTCAGGAGGGAAACTTTTCGCTCACTCTTTACAAAGTTCTCTCCAAATCTTGTTGTTTATGATGATTACTGAAATTGCTGACAGGCTTTTATCATTTCTGTTACATCACTGTGTGTGTGTGTGCAATATGTAATCATATTACATCTGTCTGTGGTTAAAAGTTTAAACTACTCTGTATTGGGGTAAATAAGGCAATATTTTCTGGTGTTGTAGAGCTAAGCAGTCATTGCTCTTTCCTCTCATTTGATTGGACCAAACTAAATGTGGAGTGGAAAATGACTCGGGTTGCTTCTTAAATTTGTTGAGTTAACTACTTCAGATTCCTGGGTTGTTGGTTTGGAGTCCTCGTAATAAATCTAGCAAATCCCCCCTTGTTGATCCGACACTCCGAGTGGTCAGCACAGGTGTTATATAAACCTTGGACCACTACAGTGGTTATTTTGGGATGGTTAGTGCATTCCCATGTTGCTAGGAAGTGTTTATTCCCCTCTTGAGTATGAGTTGCACTTATCATCTTCCACTGACCACTCACTCTGCTATCATTAATGTTTTTATTTTTATTTTAGTGCCTGGAGATCCAGAGTTTGTTGTACGGTCCTCAGCACAAGAAGACAAAAAGTACACAAAAAGCTGTGGACATGCTTGCCCGGTAAATCTTCTCAGTGTTGAGTTACATTTGCCTCTAATTAAACTGTACTTTATATTATATGAAGACATTGGATTGTGGTGATAAATGACCAATTAACTGTTTTTTTAATGAGTTAAAATAAATAACAGGTTTCAGTTAAGCAACCATGTACTGTATGTTTTGCAGGGCGCCAGAGATGGCTGAGAGACAACAGAGGCAAGGAAGAAGGAAAACAAAATGTTTAGCTGTACCATCCAGTGGCAATGAAGGAAACTCTGCGTCTGACTCTTGAAATTGTCTTTTTTTACTTTAAAGAAATGTATTTGTCAGATAATACAGGCAGCTAGCACTCCTGGAAATTAGCTCTAGTCATGTCCACTGGTAGTACATGATGTTGTGCATTAGGTGAAATAAGTTAGCCTGAAAGAAATGCTCACACTCAGAAAACATACCTACAATAGGTTTTAATAGTGTTCCAATATGAATCATTTTCCAAATAAGGGCAGGAACCTTTTTCACCAAAGCAATAATAATGCATTTTGTTAATTAGAAACCATTATGTCAATAAAAGTAATTATTTCTGGCTATCCAAGGTGACAAACACATTCTTTGGACATCAACAGGTTTTCTGTGTACTGATGTACATGTTTTTTATGCTATGAAATGGCACATTACATCCAGATTATACAGTGTACATACATATACAGTAGCTTAACAAAGATTACTTATCCAAAACCAAAATTTAAGTGCACTGATGTAATAGTGTTTTTGTTTAAATTGCTACAATTTGCCGATGAGATCACTTATGGAAATATGTTGTATCTGGGCACTTAAATGCAACAAGTCTTAAGTTGAATTGAATTGAAATTTTTTAGATTTCAAGCAATGAACATATTCAGAAAAACATGGCATTCACACTAAACACCTCACATTTTTAACATAATAATGCCAAAAAGATGTTCTGTGAAGACATTGATCCATAATTGCAAAATGTACATTTTGCAGCCACTTAGAGAAAATGTGCAAAACATGTAACCACACTGTAAGTATAGTGGACCACTTCTGTCTCTGCAACTAGCACACAACACAACAAATCCTAAATGCCACTGACACTAAGCCAATGTTCCTAAAATAGTCATGGCCATGAATACACACTTATGTTAGAGCAAAGATGAATCCTTCAAGCCCGTGCACTGTGATAACAAATGTATACAAGCAAAATGAATCCACACAATCACTAAATCCTTTTAATTCATTAAGATTCTGCTACTTCTTTTCATTCTTTCATCTTACTATTTGCTTTGCAATTTTACCCATTTTGAATTCCCAGCTCCCTCATCACTTGTTCAGATCCATATATATTGTTGTGAGTAAAGTTAAATATTCTGCAAATACCCAACTCTGTAAGTTACATAACAACCACATATAAGTGCCACATTTACTTGCACTACACCAACTTCCGCATTTAAAACTTGTTAAGACAAATTTAAATATTTTTCTCCACTCTCCTATCCCGTCCTAAGCTACATGCATTAAGGGATAGTTTTTTTTTTTAGTGTAGTTGTGTGAATCCGTGTATTACCTAGATCTGTCTTTTTCTCCAAACTGGGGGCGTGCCGTCTACTGTAGGTAATACACTGTCTGTGGATAAGTATTTCTCACAACCCCACTTCAAAAAACCCAAACTATCCCTTTAACTATATTCTATATATAACACTTCACTGACTACTCCTTTTAAAATAAACTATTGTGTTCCAGGATGCCGTATATACTGAAACCATTCAATTTGGCAACAGTGCCCAAGTCAAAAGAAAAATTAAAGCCTCAATCAAACGGAGCACAGCACCTCATAACTCTTGTGTAAGATATAGCGGCATCTAGTGGTTTCGTTGCAGATTGAAACTCCTTCACTTCACCCTCCCTTTCCAAGCGTGAAGGAGAAACTATGGTGGCCATGAAACGCACGGAAAACGGCAACTGCCCTATTGAGAGCCAGTGTTGGTTCAAAATATATATATATATAACAACACTGCATATTGCATATATGCATATTATATTCTGTTTCTGCCAATAGATCATCCTCAGTCTTACACACTGGACCTTTTAACTGTCATATGTTGGCTTGCATTAAATGTGGACAACAACATGGCGGAGACACCCATGATGTGATGCTTGGTGTAATGGGGTGCTACAAACTGCAAAATGGGCTGTTTAAGCTGTACAGCACGGATTAGTACAAAAATAGAGAAATTTAGACAGAATAAACAAACCTCTTTTAAGATAAACTGCAAGCTATAAAAAGGTATTGACCAACATAAGAATTTGCTACAATATGTAAATGTTACAATCCTAACTTAAGCTAGCCTATGTTAGTTAGCGAAGTATTTTTAACAGCAGTACTGTCACAATTCATACCATAAAATATGTATTAATCTGACTATTTTAAATGAATAACTGAATTTTACTTGCATCATGAGGTGCAGGTAGGTGCCACACTCTAAGTAGCTACAGAAAGAGCGCACCAAAATATTAATTAAACATTTTTTAACTGCAAAACCACCTCAGCAAGTAACATTGGCAAGTACTGAGTTTGAAAATTTTTCATACTGAATTATTTCTTAATCATTTGTCGGGCTTTCAAGGTAAACTGTTGCAATTTTTTTCTCTTGAGTAATCTTCACCGGGGTCTCCAGGATTGGAGATTTCGGCTCTTGCTCCAAGGTTGCTTCAGCATGGCTACCCTGTATGTCCATCTGGAAGGTGTAGGACTTTTCTGCTGGCCCCAGTTTAATATGTTTCTCAGTGATTTCTGACACAGACTCTCCTTTGTGAGTGAAGCCTTCGAGGTCTTCACCATAGGCAACATCCTCTTCTTGGGAGACTCTGAAGCTGTATCCTCCTCCTGCCCCACCCTGAAAGGCTTTCTCAAGTCCTAGGTTAGAAGATCTGAGAGTTGCCATGATTTGTTCTTCAGATAGATCATCTCCTGCCTCCAGCAGCCCAGACTCTTCCAGGGTTTGTGAGACATTGAGCTCTGCAACTATAGTCATGGTGCCATTGTCACTTGACTGCTGCACTTTTTTAACAGACACATTCTGTGGACTTTCACTGCTCACTTTTGTAAGGAAAGCAAGCTCCTCCTTCAGTGGACCTGACATTGAGCTTTGTAGCTTCTCTAGAGCTCCCTTTAGCTGCTGTTTGGGCTCCAAAGAGTCTTCTCTCAGGAACTCGAGCATTGACTCCTGTACTACAGGGGAGACACAAACCACTTCCTCAGTGATGCTCTCTGGGAAACTCTCTTTGACAAAAGAGTGATCACCTGACATGAACTTGTATTCATCACTTTCCACTACAGTCACTCTTCTCGGGGGGAGACCTTCATCTTGATAATATCTCTCATCTGACAGGTCATCTAAGATACCATAATGACCATATGAGGTAATGCCACCACACTCCTCAGCTTCAGAAAGATTATCATCTGGTGTAGAGACGAAATACTCGTGAGGCTCTTGGTCATGGGAGAAATATGAATATTCACTCTCTCTGGAAACCTCTTGTACAGACCCATCCTTGCGATGATCTGCATCTGTCATGGAGGTTTTCATGGCTTCACCATCACTTTCAGTTTCATGAGGGACATTTTCTAGCTCCTCAATTTGGAAATATGTTGAGGAGGGCCCATAAAAACTAGATCTTGACTTCTGTTCAACCTCAAGCTCCTCATCACTTTCAGCCTCCACTGGTTCCTCAATGATTTCCACATTGACAGACTTAGTTTCCAGGCCCTCACCTCCCTGCAGGCCACTTAGCAGGTTCTTGATCAAACTTCCTGTTGCTGTGTCCTTGATGTCCTCCAGTGACACTTTCTTAACCCCTTGGCTCAGTAGTTCATCTAGTGCTGAGTCTTCAGAAATATCTAGCTCTTCTTCCACTTTAGACTCTAGCACAATCTGTGTCTTAGTCGTGCCGTCTTCCTGCTCAGTTTTCTCCACATGATACCTTACTTTCGATTCTCCCGAGGAGCAAACCTTAGCCTCCAAACCTGCTGGTCTTATCACTTTCTCGATTATCTCTTCTACAGACACAGAGTCTAATATCTTTTTCTCACTTGGGCCTATTGTAGACTCTGTTTTCCCCTCATCTTTGATCTTGCTTGCATAAACCCGATCTTTCTCTTTTTTATCCGACACTTGCTCTTTGCTTTCTGCCTCAGTTTTCCTGCTCAGGCTCATCATTGGCGGCGACACCACTCTAACTGATCTGTTCTCAGTAGTGGTGGACTTGGCGGGACTGACTTGGTTCTGTACCTGAGAGACCTGTTTTATTTTCACACTCTGGTCCGTTTGTTTATCTTTGACAGTAGTGGTGGTGGTGGTAGCAGGGGCAGAAACGGCAGCCCGAGCTTTGGTGAATGAGATCATGTCCCTTCTGGATGCAGGACTCTGATGCCGAGCTCTGCCTGCAACTGAAATAGGAATGACCCTAGAGGGACTTATGGATCCAGAGAGAGGCACAGGGGATCTTCTCAGGTTTGAAGTCAGCGGCGTGTACCGGTTATCCATATATTGTCTGGTGGTTAAGGTGGAAGCTCTTTGATTGTAGGGCCTGGCAGGCATCCTGATATCTGAGGTAGAGAATGAAATAGCATGAATTATTAGATAAATACTTAAAGCAATAGTTTGACATTTTGGGAATTAAGCTTATATTCGCTTCCTTGGCAGGAGGTGGTTAAAAAGATTGATACCATTCTTATATCTGTTTGGTAAATACGAAGCTGGATCCAGCAGCTTAGCTTCACATGTATACTACAAACGGAGAAACAGCTGCCTACCAGCAGCTCACTAAAGCTCACTAATTAACAAGATATATATTGTTTGTTTAATTTGTACAGAAAATGTTAGACTGTACAGCCAGACTTCTTAGCTGCCCAAGGTCACTGCTCCTGTCCAAGAAATAGTCCCGCACATAACCCCCTGAAAAATCACAAATTGTTGTTTTCACACACAAATGTGAGAGGGTATCAATCCTCTCATCTTATTCTCTGCAAGAGGTCAAAATATTCCTTTAAAATGACAGTTTACTCTTGTGATTAACACGTAACACATTAAATACTTCTAAATACAGTACCTATTACTCTTTCTCTTTGATGTTGATTCACCCTCATGTGAGCATCTTGCAGACCCACTCTCTCACCTTCCAGAAGAGCTCTGAAAAAACAAGAGACAAGACAAGATACATTTGAAGACTAGAGCAAATACATTATTTTAAGTCACTAGTTATCCTCAAATTTCAACATAATTCTTTGTTCCTATATATGGAAGAAAAGAAAGGAAAGGAAAGGAAGACTAATACCTCACAAGATGGTGTACATCATTCAGCTCTGCCATCTCAAACTAAACGCAACAGGCTTACAAGACGGTATGAAGACAGGACCTGGCCATATAGGGTGATAATCATCAGAAACATAACAAGCTACTGTCATGAAATAAAGACCTTGTAATAATTAGCTTAAATGGCTCACCTTTCCTTGGCCATGCTTCAACAAATCTACAATCGATTGAGCAAACCAAAGTGTCTGAAAAAGGAACAACCTCTCTGGAGAGTGCCTTCTGAAAGAGTGACCTAAAAATAACAGCTACAACGCAGGGCGGTCCACACTTCCCCATGAATCCCAAAGCAAAAGCTGACTCGTGACACATAGAAAAACACATGCCAGTGCCAGGTCTCTGAGCAAACTTTCTGTCTATTCCAAAAATTAAAAACAAACCTAATGTGCCAGCAGAGAATCTACCATATAGAGACACACTTGAGTAGAAAGTCTTTTAAAGAACTTCCTGGGAAGTGACTTAATACTAATAACATTTTGGCTCAACAACCATTGAAGACGGTGTAGATGTCCCGTGATATGAGGTAAGACGTTATGATGTTACAAGGATAACTGAAAAAAACCCTACTGGATATTACACCTTCAAACATCGAAACACACTGTATGTTTAACTGTTTTATTAATAACTTTGCTTTTCAGTAGAAATAGTCTTGTTAGTATGCGAGTATGTGTGATCTGGTTAAATTAGGAGCATGAAGACTGGACATACCATGCTATTACAGGATATGAAATACCAGATATAATTTGTCTTGCTTTGTAAACGCTTAAAATAAACCAAAGAGAAAGTTTAAACAACTCTATTAAAAATAAATGTGCAGTACATGTAGTATGTATAAGATAGTAAATGTGAACTACTACTTTTCAGTGTGTCCAACTGTTCAGATGAAGCACTCAGTGCCAAGACCTGGGGGGGAGGCTTGACCAATAATGTCTTCTTAAAAGGATTAAAATATTACTGGAAATAGAGGATGTGACTTCAAAATTTTAGCCAGCTTTCTTGGAATATAATATTACCCAATGTTACATTATATTATATTCCATTTCTGTCCTCCTAAATGTTACACAGTGGGCCTTTTAAATCACATTTTCAAGAAGATTCAAGAAGTGTATACTGTGTTTCTGGCCCCAAACTCCTAAACACATAGCCATTCTCCCCATAGTCCTTTTTCACATGATCAAAAACACAGGTGTAAATAATACATTTAGTTATGGCTGAATTCCATTTAGCTATGTCCATTTCAGGGTTTTTGACTGGCTCACTGTCACACTGTCGAGGCTTACTGCGGCACAACAATAAAAACCTATTCCTTTTCCTATACTGACTAATCAAAATATCTGCTATGAAAAATGTTTTGTACACGGAAGTCGGAAAAATCTGTTTTGACACCAAAGTAAACAAACTCATCACCTGTAGGCAGCCACCTCCATACCCAGATCCATCTTAACCTGAAGAAGGTGCTGATGGTCTCGCATCTTCTCTGCAATTGTGTCAGCCATCATGTTTCTTTCATGCTCCAGCTGCTCAATAATCATCTGGAGGAAAAAAGGCAATTAAAAAAAGAAATTTTCACTTTGCACATAGTTTAATTTTGAACGTCTGTGGTCTGTCGATTGGCTGCTCAATTTAACAGAAAATACTGTCATTCTGTTTCCTCATTAACCATAAAGTTTGTAACCACTTTATTTTTTTTTACCGCAGCCTACATTGTTGTTCACTTGGTATGTCTGTTTCTGTTTTCCCTGAGGTCCCCACCACTTATTTTGTTAAAGATGGCAAACTGGCTGTAGACTTCTTGTCAAAATCAAGTCTGATCCCACTAACAGACTGCATTAATCATTTAGACTACTTAATCCGGCCTCTGTCATTTGTACATGAGCCTTTTCCAGTAACATTTGACATTGTGCAACAGGTGTAATGCAATTAATGAAATTAAAATTTCCCCACAGGGTTAAACAGTTAGAAATGTGCTTTTGTTACAGTACTGAAGACATCCCTACAGCGTATGGCCAGTGTAGTCATTTGTAACTGACTGACCTGCTTAGGGCTCCATCTTTAGGAGGCTAATAAGGATTTGTCAGTCTGACAGTTAATTGGTTTAAGTGGCTGGTGTAATCTAGCAGCCATAAAGTACTGGGGAGGTAGAATGTGGTCTAGCTACTCAAGCTATTCAATCCTTTTATACTGGGGTCAAATGTTGCATGCAGTTTCCAATGCTTTTTACAGTTAAGGGAATCAGGCACCACTTAATGTTGGCAATGTCATTATAGGGTGGGGAGAGTTGCATTAATTTCAGAGATAACATTTATGCATCTGTGTGCTTTTAGGAAAAGCGAAAGCCAGAATCCAGGATGCCACGGGATGACACTGTCCTGTTAGAAATGTAATCCTAGATTGTGATGTTATAATGATTATTTAAAGAATATTAGAGGCTTAAGAATCAGTGTGATTCATTGTAGCAGCCACTGAGCTGCAGCTGCATCCGTGCCTTTAAGAACGGGTGTGGCAGGTCCAAGAGGGAGAAGTCGCTCCCCTCTCTTGTGGCTCAGTGTGATAAAGGGGAGATTATTCTGTCCGTATATTGTGAAATGTGCATCACATGTGTAATATATATTTTGATACTTACTTAACATGGAAATAAATCCCATAACATCTGGCTTCACTTCACTTCACTTCTGAAATATAAATCTGGCCTTTCTCTGTGCTACTCTTTTACAGATCTTTTCTCACCTGATATTCACTGTAGTCCACTCGGAATTTTTCCTGCATGTGCATCAGTTGTTCTTCGAGATGCAGCTGAATCTGGCCTTGCTTTTCCGCCTCTGTGCGTAATTTGTCCAACTCTGAGGCATACATCATCTTCTCCCTCTGCATATCACTCAGCCTCGCCTGGTCCGCTTTAATCGACTGATCCATCTCCTCCACCTTCTGCTGGTACATTTCGAAGGTGTCAATCCATCCTTCGGACAGACCGCGGGCGTACTCTTGCACCTCCTCCACGGAGGCCGCCGGAGGCCCGCGATAAGTTTGCGTGATGATGGGCACCACCCGGGACTCCACCTGACGCCGGAGATGGTCAATCTCTTGTCTGTGCGCATCCTCTATGCATTTATACTCGTTCTCTAGCTGAATCAAACGCTGCTGGAGCTCGCTGTTGGTCTTGTGAGCGTGGTGGAGCTCCTTCCCGCATCCTTTCAGCTCGCCACTGATGTCCCTGCACACCTCAGTCTGCTCCTTGCACAGAGACTGGACCATCTGCAACTCCCGCCATAGCTTCTCCCTCTCCATCTCCGCCTGGGATTTTTCAAACGACAGCTGCCCCACCATTCTCCTCAGATCCCGCATGTCCTCTTTGTACTTCGGTTCCGACGCCTTCACTTGTCTGAGTTTATTGATTTCACTGATAAGATGCGCATTTTCCTGCTCCAGTTGCTTCGTCCTGGAAAGATACTGGGCAAGTCTGCTGTTGAGCTCCTGCAGCTGGTGTTTTTCGCCCTCAAAAGTTCTCTTCAAAGGCAACATTGTGGCATCTAATGATAAAAAGTGAGTTTTAAGAACTGCCTGTGTTTGGTTTTAAGCAGCAGGTTGTCCCGGTGTCATCTGCGTGCGCGTCTGTGGGCGCAACTGTGATGTAATTTGCGATCAGTGGCCTTTGACAAGTGCAGCGGGGAGGAGGGCGGGTCCTGCCTCAGGATCGTCCCAAACGCGTCCTAGTCCCTGGCAGATGTTATGCTGCATTTAATGGCTGTCTGAAATACTAACGCTCTGATCTCGCAGTAGTAACCAGATATACGGTGAAGACAGCTGTGAGACTGTAAACTAAAACCTAAAGCTACATTCTGAAAATGTGTCGTGCAGTAGAATAAAATTAAAAGACGGTTAACCCTAACCCTAACCCTATTTTTTATGTTAAAAATAAAAAGATAAAGAATCCATTAGTGTTTCATATTCAAAACAAACCAGTTTGGATTACATAACTAATTGACAACAATTGATAACTAAAAGCCTCCACTAAACCCTGCAAAATTGTTAGTACATTTGTGTTAGAATGTAAAAGTACTGTACTTGATTACTTCCATTTTGTACTTTATAGCATAGTCCACTACATTTGTCTGACAGAAACTTTACTTATTTTCCAGCTTTTATGTACAAAATTGCTTAAGTATTATGAATAATCAAATAATAAATAATAATAATAAATACTTCTCTTTCACCACAGATGTAAAGTTGCCTAAAAAGCAGTGATGTGTAGCTTTGTAGCTCAAACACTCCAAAAGAAAACTGCATTTGGTTACATTGTAATTTATTGTTTCTAATTTTAAAAATGACCAAAACATTTTTGTGGACTGGTTTACTGAATGGCCACCCACATCAACGACTTTTTTGTCTTGTATGTACTAAATATAATAATACATATTTTAAAAAGTCTTATTATCAGGCAAATTAAATGTGTAACTTGTTTTAACCTGTAAATTGGAACCGAAGGCACCTGAATGCAACACTCCCACACTCGCCATTCATGATTTATCTGCAGAGGAACAGCTCCCCCCAGCGGACAGTAAGTGAGTTGCAGGAGCTAAAATAAGCCTTTTTATTTTTCAATGACAAGAAGTGCGTAACAAAGTATATTCCTTTACTGACAGTGACTGCGCCATGAATGGAAGCGAAGTAGTGGTCGTTACAGGTAAACGAATAACAGTTTACTCATGAATACACGAACTTATCAAACTAACGTTTATTTTCAATTCCGGTTTTAAGGCTTTGGACCTTTCAGACAGTTCTTAGTGAATCCCAGCTGGAAAGCAGCTCAGGTAATGTTGAAAAACAACAACAACAACAACAACAACAACAACAACAACTACGGTGTGTGTTAAATGCCCATAAAAATCCTAAATTGTCTAATGTTTCATGATTTAAGGCGTTGAAGGTGGTCGGATTGGGACAGCGGACTGATATTTACATCAAAGAAGTGCCAGTGAGTTATGTTAAGACTCAGCAAATCATTGCTGAGATTTGGCAAACTCTTAAACCAAAGGTAAAAATATCAAGTTCCCTTTTAATTCATAGAAATACTGAGGTAATAAGTCCCTTTACCCAGGAAATTATGAGTAATATCTAAAGTAAGGTGTTTATTTGGACCTTTAACTGTTCAATTATGTTAACTTTTTTCCCTCTAACATATAGGTTAATTTTATTTGTATGGCCTCTATTCCCTATTATATTTAGTGTATCATAGTTGTCATTCTGCTATGTCTGTTCGTGTTTTTAAAAGGTGCTATATAAATAAAATTTATTGTTATTATCATACAACTTGTTTTAAAGACTAATCCACACTACCATTATTTTATAATGAATCCTTTATTCATTCATCAACTCAAAATGAGTCTAATTTATATATATTTTGTCCAAAAACACTGGAATGAAACCATAAATATCCACCAACAATTAGTTTTTATTAGGAAACATTATAAACTGTTGCTAAAAAAAAAAGACAAACTACAGAGAACATGATCTCAATGTCCTCAACTAGCTACAGCCTTGGTCTGGATACTAAGTGTTGAAACATATAAATACACTCTGGTTATGGTGTGAGAAGGTGAATATCTCACTTTACCTTTGTGCGTGTGTGTGTGTGTGTGTGTGTGTGTGTGTGTGTGTGTGTGTGTGTCCAGTTTGCCGTACACCTGGGCCTAGCCAGAGGTTCCAGAGTCATCATTCTGGAGCAAACGGCAAAGAACAGCAGATACAGAGACAAAGATGTGTGCGGTTTCTGTCCTGAGAGTCACTGCTGTGTGGAAGGAGGCCCAGAGAAACTAGACTCAGTCATTAACATGAGGGCTGTCTTCAAAGAGTTCAAACCAGGAGGGATGGATGTGATTTATTCAAGAGACGCCGGCAGGTAGACATCTGTCCCTGCACTGAGTCGACAGACACTCAACAAAATGAGATAATGCTTTCTGTCCTCCTCCTCAGGTACCTGTGTGATTTTGCGTATTACTGCTCGCTGTATCACGGTCAGAGGAGAGCGGCCCTCATCCATGTGCCCTCATCTGGCAGCCTGACCTCAGCTGACAGACTGGTGCCTCTGCTGCAGAGCCTCATTCAGAGCATGCTCGACCAGCTGGAGGACCCTTCAGACAGGCAGCCGCAGTGAGGTAGATCTTCTAATAACGACATTTCACACCACAGAGAGGGAATAACTAGAACAAACAGTCGTAGTTCTCATTTATTTATTTATTCAAAATTTCAGGAAAAAAAAAAGAAAATACAAGAAATTCTCAGATACACATTTTTGAGATGGCATGTCAAAAATACACCATCTCAGCTATAGGTGTGAAAAAACTTTGAGGCCTCAGATACAGAGCTTGAAAAAAAAAAAAAATTTTTTTTTTTTATTATTTCTTTCCCCAATCAGGTAATAAACACAGAAATTTTGTGAAAGTATTATTATAAAATCATAGTAGTAGACCAAGGCCCCCTCAGAAGGTATAGGAATGCAAATCATAAAAACAGAGGCATGACAATGATAAACCTCAAACTTATTATTGCAGTTTGAATGCACTGACGCATCCTCCATAAACCTGAGGTTTGCATGAAGAACATTCTGAAGAATTGAAATGATAAAGACGACTAAGTTGAGTTTTTAGTTTCTGTATATTTACGCTGAAAATCTGGTAATGCAAAAAAGCAACTAGTGTGAAGCTGTAAACTTAGGCCTATCATCTTTTTCTAATCATGTTGTTTTACTCTTTAACATGACTACCCGTAATCTACGCAACATCCCTGTCCTATATATGTCCATGTTTCTTTTATTTATTTAAATGCTGTAGTTATCACAGGCTCGTGATCTAATTGTAACTAGGAATTCACCTCACAACAGGTCAATGTAATGTCTACTACTCCCAGAACGGAAAAGTTGAAATATATTGTTAATGTGTTGTATTTCATCATTACGAACTGTACATCCAGACTAAAAAATAATAATAATAATAATAATAAATGCACAGATATGTTAAGTAACTACACAAGCTGCTTGCTTGTCAGTGGTGATTTCTGTACCAATGTGATATTCAGCAGCAATCAAACTGTTTTTCAACCAAAAGATTGTTCATTCTTTGACTGTTATCCTCTTAAATGTACATGCGCAGATAAAATGCTTAAGAGTAACCTAAACCGAACACCCAGATTTCACATTAGAAATTACCCAGTGGCCTGTTCATAGTGCCATTTTCTTTTCTTTTTTTTTTTTATTGCTTTTGGGTATTACATTTTTTCTAATTATTTCATGCCTCCGGCCCAGAAGCCCTTGCACTGAGACAGCACTCTCAAAGAGGTTTTTTATGAGAAGCTTTGAGATATCAAAAGCTCCTTTGCGACCTTCACACTCAACATTTTGATGACAGTATAAGATCCACTGAGGTGACTGTTTGAACCAGCAGCATTAATGTTAAATAGCAGTACAACAGGCCAGAAAAGGCGTTTTGAGTTTAATTCCAAATGATCCAAAAGCCTAAAAAATGGTTACTAAGAGATTCATGTTTATGAGAGCAGAAATTACTGCAGCTATCACTAGAGCTAGAGACTTTGACAGGGGAGATGATGGCGTTCATATAAACACAAATAGTTTACATTGTCCAATATTGACAAAAGACTGAATTCAGGATTGAAGCTAGAAACATGTAGGAGGTGGAGTGGCTGTGATCTCTATAAAGGTTTTTGTGTAGAAAGTGAAGAACTGTCCTCGTTACATTCACAGTACTGATCCATGTACGTAACCGAATGCATTTGTCTAAACTGTGAATGACATCTAGATGTTTGGGATAAACTAAAGTTGTGCGCTAACCTCACAGGCAAAATGCAAATACTTTTCTTTTCTTGGAGGTGAATAAAACATTTTCCCTTTTTAAATATTCCCCCATGATAAATCTTTAGGCTTCTGTATAAATGCATTTTAGATGAGAAAATTAGGGTTTCTGTCCTTTTTGAGGATTTGAGGTTGTGACAATAAGTTGGGAGTCAGTGGAGATGGAATGCCTGATGTTGATGCTGTGCCCAGGCCTCTTGTCTTAATCAATACATACTGGACCTGCTCTAAGCCTTGTAACGCTGTAAACCCTCAAAGTGTAGGCTGACTATGTAATAAATACCCAACAACAATTTACACGGATTCTGCAGAGAACGCAGCATACAGACCGTTCTTTTATATATTCTCAGAGGTATAAACATACTTTTTGTTTAACCGCTGGGCCAGAAATCGGTTGGCTGAGCTTACAGCACTTAAACCTCCACACAGAAATTCCATCTCCTGTCCTAGTCCGCTTTGTGAGGTTTATCTAGATCCCTGTGGGTTTTATCTAGATGATGAGGTTTCTATACAAACTGATGAGAAAGAGTGAGATGTACTTATTTTCCATACGCATACATATATTTGAAAAAGAGTGAGGTAGATATATAGTTGAAGGAAAAAAAAGAAATTTTTTTAAGTCCCCCAGTCATGACACCAAAGAAAATACATACAAAAAAATCCAACTTTATACTGAATTATGGGGCATTTATACAGTGATTTAAACTGATATCACAAAAGGAAAATAAAAAAATAAATAAATAACACTCCTACAGAAAGAAAAAAAAAAAACTTCAAAGAAAGGGAAAAAAAAATAAAAATCACCAGGCAACATTTCCAAAAGATGAGGAGAAATCCTTCAAAACATTTTTCAGCCTACATTTTTAAGACCTTTATCCATTCATAACATTGAAATGTGTTCCCTTCCCTGGACTTTAACCCATCCTTTATTTGGTTTTTCAGAAGCAGTGATTATGAAGACAAACAATAAGACCTGTACACACGTTGAAAAAGTAACATTAGCAGAAGTGGCGTTGTATTGCGTTTGAGAGTGTGTGTGTGTGTGTTTGTGAAAATGTGGGGAAAAAATTATTTTGAATGGTTGAGAGATGGTTGGCATAATTAAGGCAAACAAGACAACCCAATTAACCCTATTGAGTCAAGAAGAGGCAGGAAATGGATGGGTTAAAATACCAGATCTGGTATAAAGTAAATATCTTGTGTACTGGAACTGATCCCGACTTCAAAAGAGGAGGGGGGACAGTATGTTGTAGAGGTCAGTCAGGGGCCAGTGGGAACGAGAGTGGGTACTACTGGACTCAACAAAACATGATGGGGGGAGAAAAAGGGGGGCGGGGGTTAAAAATGAGACAAGTAGAGGACGATCATGAGAATGTGTGGAGAAAGCAAAGCCTTTACTTTGACCTGAGATTGAGTCGCACCTAGAGGGCAATGCTAGGTGCAGTGCTAGACAACAAGTACAAAAAGGATGCAGAAAGTACACACTCACACATCGAGCTAAGGTGTCCATTCCAAATAATAATAATAATATTAATAATAATAATAATATAGACATCCACAAAACAAATACAGGAGGAAAGATTTCATAAAAATAAAAGGCAATGAGCAAAATATAGTGTTACAGAAAACCTTTTGGGGTAACAGAAAAAAAATGTTTTTTTATATCTAAATCATTGTATTTTTTGTTGTTTTATTTTATTTTATTTTTTTAAACAGAGTTTGAAGATATAAGAAACGGACTGTAGTGGAGACCATAAAATACCGAACCTGAAGGATTTCTTTATATATAACATCCAAAAGAGAAAAAAGAATAAAATAGCAGCTTTTGTTCTGTACAGACATAGAGGCAAACATTTTTGAACCGTAAAAAGGTTTTTAAAAAAGTGACAAAACCATTGATGTGTATAAAAACGATCCTGCAGTCTAAAATACAACCGTAAGATCTTTATATGTGTTTGAAATGTAGAGAAACTAATGACTATTCCAAAAGAGACCTGCTGTGGTTTAAAAGTAGTCTCTAGGCTACTAAAATCCTATCCAACCCCCTTCTCGTTTTCTGTCTCAGGTCTTCACTTGTTTGTTTGTTTGTGGTGCCATTTATTTTGAACAGCAGTATCAGCGAACAGTGTTCACTTCCCACAAGAAATGCACACTTCAGATTAAGGTTTGAATAAATGAAAGCGGAGGCGTATCCCTTGATTGTGAAGTTCAGTGATTTGCAGTGTGAGACTTATGGTGCTTTTGTTTAGATTTTTATTATTAAAACAAAGACAGACTGAGGCTGTGATTCAGAGTTGGCTGACTCAAGTGTGTGATTCCCTCCGAAAGTTTTAGCTACGCTTGGATTTCAATGGACTTTTGGTGGTGCAGCAGAAAGTTTTGGTTAGCCAGCCATCACCGGCAACAGCACGCTGGCTTTTTAAATGAAATCCTCTGAAAATAAAGGTCCACAATGTATTATTATTTTCAATCCATCTGCCAATTATTTTCTTGATTAACTGACTGTTTGTTATATGCAACAGCAGAAAATAGGGAAGATTGCCCAAGATGATTTCAAAACCAAAAACATGTCCAGTTTACTATCACATTAGACAAAAAAAAATGCAAATCCTCACACGTGATGAGCTCAAACAAATTAAATTTGGGCATTTTTGTTTTAAAAAAACTGTCTTTAACCAATTCAACTGACAGAAACATTAACTTTAATTTCCTGAATTAAACAGACTTAGTCTTGCTTTTATATTAATCTCTCTATATGCAAATCACTTTGTAGAAATTTAGTCTTGTGTTTCTCCTCAAAGTACCACAAGGCTTGCTAGATTTATTCCACCCCCAATGCAGACGCTGCATATTCTGAGAAAACTTTGAGTGCAGGTGTGAATGCAGACCGTCTCAACAGAAACACTGTTTTCTGTCCTGTTATAACACCACACACAGCTGCTCTGGGAGCAGTTGGTACTTAACATAAACGTGAAGTCTGAATACCACCAAACAATTCAGGTGTACTTCCCAGACAGACTTTGAATCACAGCCTTAAACAAGAAGGGAGATCTGTATGAAATTGAAGAAAAAGCTTGATTTGGCAATAGTTTGGCAGACACACAATAGGCCCTCCTCTTCCATTTTGACCCGCCTCTGACGGGATCTACACCCATAGAAATAGCAACAGGAAAATTAAACAATGATCTTAGTCCAAACTTTCTAATTGAGGCATGCTCACATGACATGAGCCAGTCTGCTCAGAATGCAAACAAAGTCATTTTTGTTGGAAAGTCATTTAAAGATGGAGCCATACCATAATATAGAGAGAATCATGTGTTTGTATAAATACACGCTCAGATATCCACAACATCCTCTCTAAAATCATCAGGAAAAAAAGTGCTCTTCTGTTGGATTTGCTGGCAGATATGCTAGAAAAAAAAGATTTTCTTTAAGTTCATGTCTAAATATGTAAGTCAGGATGCATGCCTGTATTGTTTTCCTTCTTGAAGGACTTGTACAACAAAGACTGAAATACAGGCTGCACAGGAAGGAGTTCCCCAGTGTCGAGTCTGAGCCACCAAACTCCAAATGATTTAGCAGGTTTCTGTGCTATTTTTAGTTTTTAGAGTTTATGTTTGACCTTTAAGGAGTGGAGAGACCATCTACTGGCACACAGTAGAAGAAAGTCATTTCTTACCTCATCCATCCCTCCTTAAGAGATGGAGAAGAGGTTTGTGTTTACCCTGTGTAAAAAGAGGAGGAGGGGCTGGTCTGATATCAGCAGGCCGACGACTGGGGCAGTGGTAACGCCCGTTCATTCTTTCTGCCCCCATTCATGTGTGCATAGGGTTGCATCTCGTCAAAGTTGGGCCGCAGCACCACCACAGGCCCGTTGGCCGAAACATGTCCTGAGTGCTTGTCCAAGGCTTGGCCCGGGGCTGAGGCAGCCGGGCCCGGGGAGGAGGGGGACACAGGTCCCAGTAGTGGAGTACTAGGGCCTTGCATGGGGGATAACTGCTGGGTAGAGGGAGGCGGTGTGCCCCCTGAACACCCAGACAAGGGGGTGGCAGCAGCAGCAGCAGCAGAGGGCTGCCTGGTGGATGCAGGGTCCAGTGGAATGTTCTCCATGTTTTCTACCTCCATGTCCAGCTCCTCGGTGTCCGGCGGTTTGTTCTCCTCGCTGTAGAAGAAGCTCATTTCCCTGAAGGGGGGGTCCAGTTCATCTTTGATGCTGCTGATGATCTCCAGGAAGGACGGACGCATCTTGGGGTTATACTGCCAGCACATCCTCATCAGCTCAAACCTGCATGTGACGTACAAAAAATAAAAGGGTTAGTAATATACAGTGGAGTCTTCATTTAGGAATACATCAGATTTGTTCTAATACAACACACATATATTTTTTACCATGAACTTTAGGAATTTTGTACTAAAAAGAGCGTACTGTGTTGAAACAGACTTGGGAGGAAAAAAAGACTTTTCAAACTTCAGACACTTCTCATTTCTCACCAGCAGGTGGCAGGAGACACTGAAGTGTAAGCCATTTCAGTATGCTATGTCACTAAAACTCAGTTCACTGTATTGATCTTGAGAAAAAAAAACTTGATGCTGCGCTAGATTACTACTGTTAATTAAAGTGAATGTTTAATAGAGCAGATGCTTTGATTCATTTTGAGGTAGGAAATTCACTCTGAGACTGTCACAGAAGGAAAATCAGACACAAGAAGTAATAAAAACAAAGTGTTACATCCACATAAACAGGCTCAGCTTTTATGTTTCACATTTTGTCTAATATTGTGTATATATATATATATATACACAAATGTAATGTGTACACCTTTAGTCTGATAGCAACTCATACACACTAGAACAGAAAAATAACTCGCAAATACCTGCCCTCACCCCGTGGACCAACTGATTCATTTCATATTCAGATTTGTTGTTGACATGTACTCTACTCTGCTATTTCATTTAATACAGTCCAGCGAAACGCTGCATGGACTACAATCCATTAATTGATTACATCTATTACGTAAACTCAAAAACATTTTAAACGACAGTTCAAATTTAACATTTTATTTATTTATTTTTTTTTACTGCTACATTACAACAAAATGTAGCATGTACTCAGCAGCACAGTAAATCATAGTTAAGGTTACTGTGCCAGGCCAGCAGCCGAGCTTTGGGAATGTCAAAACAACATCATAAAAGGGAGAATTATTACAGTTTTGTGTGGTGCTACACCACACACCACAACTTCAATTATACACAAACAAGCTAAGAATACTCTCTAAGGCCCACTGACATAAACACCTCAGTCATCTCTCCTCCACTCCTGCTGTTCCCTCTCTCTTGTTTTCTTTCTCTCCCTCTCTCCCAGTGGTCTCTTTGCAGTCTACAACAGCCTCGGTAGCTGGGTGCCAGCTCCTCACTGCACTGCTGAGGAATTATGGGTAGAGCTTTCCTAAGCATGCGGCTCGCTTCATACTCTGAAGCAGCGGGAGTGGGGTGCGGGGCGGGGTGCGGGGGTGGCTCTGGCTTGTTTTTCAGCTGCACAGCAAGTGTTTTAAAGTTGACGTTCAGATGTCCAAACCCAGGCAGCAAAGACCTCCCATGAAAAGACGTGTAATGGTTGGAGCCGGGCCGGCGCTCCAGAGTAACCTGTCTGGTGAAAACTCTTCCCCCACCATCTGTTGCCGCACACGAGGCTTGTTGATGCAAATTTAGAAAACAAACACTGCAGTAAATCCTGACTTCTTGTCAGCATCCTGCCAATCATGGCACACACAGACACATGCTATTGCCATTAAGCTAAATTGACTTATATTTGACTTGTCGTCAGTGACGTTAGCCACATGCCATGTTCTTAAACTGGCATTAAAGGAGCTTCTTTTTTCACACCAGCTTTCTTTTTTTTATTTACTATGAACTATGTGTCTTTTTTCTTTTTTTAATCACTTGTGTTCATTCAGCTGTTCATGCATATTTGGTACGTCCAATTCCAGTTTAACCGCCCAAATGTGCTGTATATATAAAGCTTTACTGATTAAGCTTTACCTTTGAATGACAAAGATTGCGCTGTGGGTGCCTCAATTATACTTACTTTATACTTTTTCTGTTTTTGTGCTTTGTTTAGCTGTCTGCTATATGTACGTGTGTCTTTAAGTTTATTAAGAACTAATGTCAACTGTAGTCAAATCCCTTGTGTTACTTGGCCTAGAAAGCATATTCTGAACTTTTCTGTCCCACCAATAAAAGCAACGTGTTACAAGCAAATCACTGGTGTGATAGTATCAAAAAGGTGCTTTCAAAACAAAAAAATTTGAGGCAGTCCATCTGCACTAGTCTAGACAAAGCCAAAATTTCACCAGACTAAGATGAACAAAAGGACCTTGAGACATTCAGCTAAAATAAGAAACAGACGTACTTTCGGGGCAAGTGTGAGTGCAGACCAGTCTACAAACATTGATGGTAAATGTTTAATAAACCTGAACAGCAATCTCTTGCAACAGAACTGCAAAACTTCACACATGCAACATCCTTGGCGTGATGAAACCCTGATGTATAGTAGCACTGTAAGTGATACTGCACATTCCATTCAAGAAATCACAACGTTTAATATGATTGCAGAGTCTGTCTTTCATTTCGCACACGGGAGAGAGAGAGAGAGAGAGAGAGACAGAGAGAGACAGAGAGAGAGAGAGAGAGAGAGAGAGAGAGAGAGAAATGCACTTTTGTCTATAGGAAACTCTAGACAGAAACATGGGAAATCCAATCAATGACCCTCAGCTACCTGACCATGGGAAAGACAGTACTACAAGGAGGAGACATTCAAAGCTGTCCAAATATGACTCATCCCTCTCTCTGTTATCCGGCCCACTTTCTCCTCTTGTATCTTTCTAGTCGGTCTTTGTATGGACGTGTATGGACTGGCTTCACCACACTTAAGCAGTCTTTTGGAAATCTCCATTAAGTCACTACAGGAGAAGCGACCAGCGGCAGCAGCCTGACTTCCCCTCACAGACTGAGAGGCAAACCCCCGCCACCACCACCACCACCACCACCACCTCTGTAACACAATCCACACACTCCTGTAATCAGGACAAAACAGTCAGGCTGCCATAGAAACCAGAGGTCTGTGTCTACACAACACTCGACCCTTGTTTTTTTTTCTACTCGCGCTCTCTTTCTCAAGGTGAGGTCAGCCATGGAGAGTGGGAGGGGAGAGAGAGAGCAGAATGCCTTCGTATTGAGGTCAGAGAGGGAGAGGAGAAATGCATATATGCAGCGCTGCAAACTGACGAGCAGGCTGTGCTGTGTTTTCTCTTCTCCAACAGCCAGGGTGATTCATTAATGAATTAATAAATCTTGTCTCTCCCACTCCCTTCGCTGACGGACAGACACCATCGGCCTCCTCAAGCCCGTTCCCGGTGGCTGGAATGAGGGGCATCTTTCACACGCGGGTCATGGCATCCCTTCTATGGGCCCAGGCTGACGGGTGAGGAGGATTCTCTATGCCAGCTGACCGTCGGGGCCATGTCGTCAATGGGCCACATTTAACCTGTGACGTTAATGCCAGGCCTCATCTTGGCTCTACCTTAGCATACACACCACATGATATGCTACACACTTGGAACCATAACTTAAAATAGACGCCAGGCAAAATATTAACGGTGCAGACGGCATGCAAGGCAGTGGCAGTAGAGGATAAAACAATACATCCTTTGAGGGTGCTGTAACATAAACTGTGGAAGGTCTGAAATGGGTGATGTTACACAGTTATTGCAGTTATTGATCACAGATACAAGGGGGACTTACAGCATGTCAGGGCAGTTGTCAGGTTTGTCCAAGAGTCCTCCCTCCATGACAAAGCGCAGCACTTGTTCATTAGACATGCCCTGGTAAGGCTGTTCTGCTAAGGTAGCGATCTCCCACAGTACGACACCAAATGACCTGCGGTAAGAAATGAGACAACAGTTTTAGAAAATATATTTAGATTTTTGCCTCTCTTCTGATGCTAATTCAGTGCTGCTTACACTGAGTGCAACAGCAGAAAAGGTCTAAGGCTGCTGTGGTTAAGGCCAGCAATCATAGCACTTTGTTTATTACTTCTAAATAAATCTTACATTTAAAAAAAGGACAAAACTAGTGCTTTGGTTTTGTCTATTGCAACGCATTTGCCGCACGAAAAAGAGAAAAAACTCTTCTCTTATTGTAAAGACACTGAACAATCACGCACACTGTTACTCATTTGTACTCACTTAATTACATGTACTCAAAATCTATTTAATTAATTTATTGAATTGTACCTGATGAAGGTGTGAGGACCAAAACATCATTAATTAAGTACAAGTGGTTGACCATATGCAGAATTCTTCCTGTTCCCTCTTACAACAAATCTTGTACAGTAAACCTTCCATTTATATGAACCATCTTTCAAAGCATGCTGTAGTATTTTTGACTTTTAAATTGTGTTTTTCCTACCTTTCAGTATTTCTTTACTAAAAATGTGCTTACTTGCTTGAATTAGGTAAGATGTATATACTATACACCTTGCTGAATTACCACACAGCAATGTGGATAATGTGGCAATGCAACTATTGCAGTTAATTAGCTAATAAAGTCAAAAAAAGCTACACTAATTAATATTTTTTACATTAACACTTGGTCAAATAACAATATGTATTGTGAGAAAGAAGTATCACCCAATTCTGCAGATCCTCAACTTTTTAAGGCAATATTATTTCACTGTATGTCAGAGATCAAAACAATTAATTGATTAAGCCTTTAGTATTCTAAACTTGTGTTAAATTTAAATTCATTATTAAAACAAATATATATATTGTTCAGGTTGTTGTGGATTTATGTCCCCAAGTGGCGAAAACAACTTATAAATGCTGCTTTAAATACTATTATTAGTAACCCGTAAACAACAATTTAATTGTAACCTGACAACCTTGTTGACATCGTGTTAAACCTAAAACCTGGCAGCCTAAGAATTATGTGAGCTGTGTATCAGTGTAGCAGTCAGTGAATCACAATGATTTCATTACTGCAGGACAAGCTTCAGTATAGTAAACATCACCTCAGTTTCACCTCAAGCTACCTTGCACTGAGATTACTATGAAACTATTCATGAGGAAAATTCTTAACTTGACTAACAAAGACCACAATATTTGTTCACTCTTGCTAGTCATTTTTTCACCACTGGCATGAGTTCTGAGAGTAAACTCCACAGTCTTTAAAACAGCCTTATTACAACACTGCATATAACTGGCTGAAACAGCCTTGTACTGACAGACAAAGCCACATTCAGACAGCTTTTCTTGATCAACAAAATAAAAGTCACCTACTTGCGGATTCCTAAGGAGCCCAGAATGGGTTCGTCTTACACTTAAGTTCATCTGTACAACATCAAAGAGGAAGATGTAGTACGCAAATGTGGAGGTGGGTTTGTGCTGGCACTGCAACCTATTATTTGAGAACATCTGGAGCAGTTTAAGCCCACTCTTAGGGACTGACCCGTGGGACATTTTGAGTTGGGAAACAAAAACTTGCGAGGGAGCTAGTAAACACTTGTATTTCTCTACAACAATATCTCCCCAGATAGAAAAATGTGGCAGAACTGTGAGCTGAGATTTCACCGCAAGCTGGCATTAAAAAATGTGTCCGTAAAAAAAAAAAAAGATTTATCTTGTTCAGAACAGTATTTCTTTCACGGACAGAGGAATTTCCAGCGGGCCAGCTGGAAACCAAAAGATTTTTGATGGTTTTGGATCTACTAGCTGCTGTCATAGCATACACAGGAAGGATGGAGGGCAGGAAATGCATGTTCACACTGTTAAGTAAGGAATGTTGTTAAGAATATGGGCTGAGAAGTGATCTGTGTGTTTTTATAGTTTTGACTCAACAGCATGAACTGTTTCGGCATATCCACACGCACAAAGACACGCAATATGTAGACATTTCTGGAATACTTTGCAAGCTCCCTGTATTAGGGAAGGTTTATACATGTATGATGCAGGCTTCTGAGTGTGTGTGTAAGAGAGTGATGTGTTCTCATACCAGACATCAGACATTGTAGTGAACACGCCATCTTTCAGTGACTCGGGAGACATCCAGCGGACAGGCAGCAGGCCCTTCCCTCCTTTTCGGTAGTAATCCGTCTCATAAATATCTCTGGTCATGCCAAAATCTGAAGAGAAAAATGAAAACAGAGGTTGAGGAAGCCACTAAATATCACTCATTCTGTGTGGGAGAAGAAGCTCCTGAGAGCTCATCCATTCCCTCACCTCCCCCCTCTCTTTGTACATCTACATTAAGACTCCACTGCCACAGGCAGTCACTGAAATCCAAACACTTATTTTCTAGGCTGGTAGAGCAGGTTCAGCATTGAGCAACCAGGGAAGGCTGATGGCATCGCATTAACTTGACTTACCTCCAATCTTCACAGTGAAGTCCTCGGCTACCATGCAGTTCCTAGCAGCCAGATCTCTGTGGACAAATTTGTTGGCATTTAGGTACGACATGCCGTCGGCGATTTCCCCTGCCATCTGGATCATCTTTTTGAGCGGGGGCAGGACCTGGCTGGTAGAGTTCTGTGGCAGAGTTAGAGAGGATGAGGTGAGAGGGTGAAGAGCAGCAAAAAACATAGTTCATTTCATCTTTTTCTGCTTTCCACAACACTGGACACCGGTTACAGTTCAGCATTACAAAGTGAGAGATGGGATGCTGTGTGTGTGGAAATGTGCAAGTGGTTGTTGAAGAAAGGGGGACAGGATGTGTTTGTGCGCATGTGTTCACACATTAGCGTGTATGTGTATGACAATTCACACCATCACCTATTTCTGTAAGAGAGAGACAGCATCTGTTATAGAGCTGAAGTGTGTGTGTGTGTTTGTGTGTGTGTGTGTGAGAGAAGAAAAGCTGCTTACTTCTTTGCGCAGAGAGCGCAGGTGGCTCTTGAGATCTCCACGGGTCATCAGCTCCATAATCACCAAGGTTGGCTGGCCCTGAGACACCACGCCCAACAGTCGCACCTACACCAATCACAATACAGCACAGGTCAGAAGGGATGAGTCAAAAGCTGTGCTCCAAATCCAAATTACACATTCATTCTAGGCAGGTTTTTTTGTAAAGAAAAAGTGACAAGATAAAGTAACAGTCTAAAAAAATCTATTTTTGAGTGTGCCGTTGATACAATTTTCCCACAACGCAATGCAAAAATGAAATGTAAGAGATGCTCACAGATGGAAAAAACATTAAAACTAACAACAAATGGTGAAACAGCTCTAGGAACACCTCAGAAAACAACAAAAAATTATTACATTTTTGGAAAAACATTTGACTTTCTGTGAACTTAAAGTCACTGTTTGATTGATGATTTCCTGTTTGTATAAGATGGTTAAGTATATCGATTTTTTGGTGAAATAACCACAAAAACAACAAACTACAAAGATGAACATATAATGTATAGTGAGTAGGTAGTCTACTACCTTCCCTCTGAAGCACCCTAGGTTACAAGCAAAACATTTTCAAATGTTCATCTTATGCTTATATTAGAAAAAAACTGATTCTCTTTAACTTGCTTTGAAGATTGTAAAAAATCAATTTCCTTTAAATTATTCAAACTGAATTTAATAATTGAGTGTTTGGCTTTTTAGCAGCCAGACTTGATAAAAAGGTTGTAACACCAGCTTTCCAAAGGGAAAATCTTTAACACATCCGTTTAACGTAGTTAATGAGGCTGTGATCAAGCTGATTAGAGAATGTACACAATCTCCAGGAGGCTGAACCTGGCCTCGGGCTGTAGCTGCCTGAGTAAAGACAACCACAGTCTACTCAGCGCTCGTGACCTGCTGACACCTTTCTCTCTGATTTGTGCAGATTAATTAGGAAATAATGATTATCGGGAGGACTGTCTTGCAACTGGGTTCAGTATAACAAAATGTTGGTTTATTTTTAGCCATATTGTGATGATTTTCTTGCATTTATTTCAGGCTTTTCTCACTTTACTTTATAGGAAGCTATTTTAGTCCATGACTCTCTTACCACATGGTGACAGTTGAACTCCTTCATGACAGAGGCTTCGTTCAAAAACTCAATGCGTTCCCTCATGCTGGCCGACTCGTTGACCGTCTTGATGGCCACTCGTGTCTCAGGTTCGTCCTTGACCACTCCCTTGGCGATGCCTTCATACACCATGCCGAAGGAGCCCTGGCCCAGCTCCTTGTGCATAGTGATCTTCTCTCTGGCCACCTCCCACTCGTCCGGGACGTACACTAGCAAGGCACAACGGACAGCAGGTCAACAGCACGTACACACACTAAAATATAACAGAAAAGTTGAGAATATATTTGATAGTCTTACTCTCAGCAGCACTGAAGTACTCTGGGTTGACAGACGCGTAAAGAACTCCATTCCCCAATCTGTCGCTATTCCTGTTGACACAAAGATAGCAGAGTTAGTCAGCATGCAACTTTGACTGTGGATGGGATGTGTAATTCTCTCTTAGTCTACTCTTTACCACAGGGGAATGTTAATGAAAACAACACCTATTAACTCTAATTAACATTACACTGGTCATTAACTTTTATGAGCATTGTAAGGTAGATCAACATTATCAAGAGACTTTGTTCATGAAGATACTTGCCTCTTTTTGTTCACAAAGAAGAGAATTGTGGTGAGGCTGGCAATGAAAAGTGTCACTATGATGGGAATTATGATGACCAAGTAGAACGTAACACCATCATCTCCTGTCAGACAGAGCAGATAAATAAATGTGATCAGCACAGACTAAAAGTGTCAGGAATGGACAGTATTTATTGTGTGAGAGATGTCGCATTACGTTTGGGCGGAGGTACGTAGAAAAACACGCTCTCCGTCCAGGAGCCGTTTCCAGCTAGTGAGGTGGCACGCACACGAGCAGAATAATTCCCGGAGCCCAGGTTGGTCAGCCGAGCTCCTCTGTGCTCGCGGTAGTGCTGTCGCGACACACACTCGTGTTTCTCAGGCTGAAAGGAAACAAACACAAAAACCGTCAAGGATAACAGTCAAGGTCAGATGAGGAGAATAAAACTTTAAAAAATGCTCGACAGGGCAGAGAATCAGATGTATGAGTCCCGCTCCACTCAATATGTGTTTTGCTTATTGGTCCTTCACTCAGATGTTTGAGCCTTTGACTGTGCAGAATGATGAATGTGCTGAGATTTAAACTAGATGACTCCTTTTACAGGCCAATCATAGCTCAATATGCAACTTTCCAAAGTCTCCCATTTTTTTACAATTTAAGAAAATAGAACTTAATTGAACTTTTTTGTGAAAAAAAACCCCAAAACATATCAGGCACAAATTATTATTCCAAGAATTATATATACATATATTTTTAAGTATTTTGAAGGGATTTGGCTTACCTCAGTCCCCAGACGGAACTTGATCTCATACATCAGAATAAGTCCGTTGGGCATGATGGGTTCTAGCCAGTGCAGCACCACACAACCCTCAACCTTGTCACTCCTCTCAAAGATTACCTTTCCAGGGATGTCGTCTGCTCTGACTGTGAAACACACATACAAACTTATTACAAGACTGAGCCTACAAAGTGCTGCAAGAGACAGTGTTATATTGAAGGTGAATATTGTGCCACATTGTAGGTATATTACTAACCTGCAGGTTTGGTCCTGGAGAAGACGAAGGCTCCAGCACTGCAGCGCCCCACCTCCTCATTGCAGGCATGGAGGTCAATACGGTAAACGGTGAAGGGCCGCAGGTTGGGGATGTCTAAATATTCTGCTGTGCTCTTCTCCTCTGAGAAGGGGTACTCCTTGATAGGAGGAATGCCATCTGTGCTGTTTTCACCCGGGCCAAGGGTGGTGTTGCCCCTACCAACACCCTCATGAAACAGTGTGTTATTAGCCACACCGAAAACATCTCTACGTCGACGATCTGGTGGTCTGAAATACAGAAGGACAAACGAATGCAACTGCTGTGAGAAAGTTAGTTTGAGTAGTGAGCGCTTTTATGGCGATAAAATAAAAAAGAAAAGATATACAGTATGTCCTGGAAATCCTATTGTAACAAATAATTGTAGGTTTACAACTCCCAAAAGTATTTTTCACAAAGCTGAAGCATATCACTGAACCGGGTGGAGTGAATGTGTGTCTCGTATCTTTGCGTGTATGTGTGTGTGTATTTGTGCGCGCGCACGCCATGTGTCCAGATGCTGCAAACGACTCCCTGTGGAGCTGTGTGGAAGGATGAGGTCAGACAGATCATAGTGAGGTGGACAGACAGAGAGAGAAAAAGGGCAGACACATAGAGAGGTTTTTCCACAGTAAGAACAATAAAAAAAAGCTTTCTGTCCAACATATCCCAATCAACACTGAAAATGTGCAAAAGGGAAAAAGGAGAGAGAAAATATGGCTTATATTTTCATGACATCAACATTATGAAAAAAACTGTTCACTGCTAATGACCAGTTTTCAGCAAAGACACCGAGGGCATTGCGGTGAATGGACTCATGGTTACATGGTGAAGATGACGAGCTGTGGAGCTGCCTGGAGCTGGACATCGTTATTATTGAGGGTAGGCAGGCGGTGACAGCTGTGACTGTGGCAGCAGCAGAGGCACAACAGACGTCACAGGGCACCTTACCTTCAGTACCTTTAACTGTTACCTGTGAAACCTACAGGACAGTCGACTGAGACTAATGGACAAAGAGAAAAGTCCTGAGCTCTGATTGAGATGGAAAATGAAAGCTGTATTGACAGCAGGTGACAGCAGGTGATATACAGTACATGGAGCCCTTGCAGAGCTCTTGTGAGGTGATAAGTGTCTATGGGGTGTTTGGAAATGTAATGGAGAGCATGAACAACTGGCTAAGTTATATTACAGCATTTGAAACAGCTTATGATTCAGGGTTATAAATAATGCCGATTTTGTCCTCAACTAATTGATTAATTGTTTAGTCTATTAATTTTGAATAACAGCAATCGCAATTTCCTAAAGCCCAATGTGACAACGAAAAATTGTTTGTCTTTTCTGACCGGCAGTCCAAAACTCAAAGATATTGAATTTACTATCAAACAAAACAAAGAAAAGCCGCAAATCATCACAATTAAGAAGCTGGAAGTTGCTTAAATTTTTTTTAAATCAATCAGAATGCTGCCGGTTCCCTGTTGATCGACTTATCGTTTCAGCTCTACCCAGGAGGAATAAAAAGCTAAACCGAGAGACCTAACTGAGCAATGCTACACTCAAGCATCTGTTGTGTTTGAGCAGACATACACCTACAGCAGGAGTGTGCAGACACAGACGGATCCGTGGGAAAGACCAGTCGCACTGACATGTCAACATTCCTCTATGACGGTTATTACTGGTGCGTTACAATCCAGCACTGTAAAAGTGCTACTGTTACTACATCAAATATATATATATAAACTGACACCAGAATAAAGACACACATGCGTGAGACTAGTAAATCTTGAGCTATCCTGCGACGGCCCGCTAGAAGAAGAGAAAGAAAGACCTCACAGAGAAGCCAGATGAAAGAAAACTTGAGGTATCTAATTTCTGTATGTGCAATGAGAGTGTTATGGGTTAGGCAGGCCAGTCCTAACACTGTGAGAAGGATCCTCAGTTGACTGAAGCATGACCTTATAACTAGTGAGTTACTACAGTTGGTGTCCTGACCTCGCCTGCTAAAAAAAGATCTACCTTTCACGCAATGCAATCCAGAGAGGAAAGCAATGACTGGGGCAAAAAGAGCACATTATTGGGTGCTTGGCAGCAACACATACTGCAGGCTCACGAAGAGGAGCGGAAGATCTCTTGATCTGACCGATGAAGAGGTAACTTCATCTTGTATGTACTTGTCATGAGTTTCAACATCTGGTGCTGACATAAATAAATAAATCCAGTCAGCTGATGAAAGGTTTTTTGATTGTACCACAAGGTCTCCCAAACAGCCATCCTCTTTGTGCAACCACCCTCCTCTCCTCCAGTAAATCAGTCTGCCTTCCTTACTTTCTGTTTGTCTTCTAGCGCTGATGGGGCTCTTCCCTCATTCATTTAAATTCCAGATGGATTCACTGTACATTTCCTGGCAGCTGTCTCGCTCCACAAAAAAAAAAGAAGAAAAAAAAAACCCGCACAAAGAGAGCGTACAAGGGGAGGAGGAGAGTGGAGTGGCGAGTGGAGGGGGACAGAATGGAAAACATTTCCTCTTCTTTCTGTTTCTGTTTTCACCCGCCCTGTTTCCCCTCACCCTGGTTCTAAACCCTGAACTTTTGAAAAAACCCCCCAGATTTTCGAGGCCTTTCCCTGAAGTGGTTTGTAATAATGCTGGCTCTGTTACAGTGGAGAGTCTGTGCATACACAGGCTGAGCCCTTCGCTGCAGGCCCAGGACCTGCCACTCGCCTGTTTCCTAGACAGCTATACTATAACAAATCAACACAGGCAGAGAGTGGAGGAGGATGGGGGGGGGGGCCCAGATATGAGTCCAATTACAATAGAAAGCTATGTTTTATTATTCTTCCTCCGAAGACATATCGATCCAATTCCACAAGAGCACTGCAAAGGAAAAGAGAAGGGCACCCTAACACTGAATGAATCGAATGAATGAACTTTGGAGGCTCCCAGGAATCGTTTAAAGCTATGGATTTATAAGATACCTGCTGAGGCAACAAGTTTATCAAAGGTCTCCATATTTCACTGCGCTGGATGTCGGAGATGGAGTGTTACGGCGCCAGTTCCTAAATATGCACAGATTGTGTGTGACTGTCTGCATGAGAATAAAGGAGTGTGGGAGAAGAACCAAGCGGGACTCTTTGAAACAGTGAAACATCCTTAGCCACGAACAAGTTAAATGATAACAGAACACAGATGTCAGTCCCTATTGTGGGGAACAAAAGCCTAAGCAGCTACGAGCGCACAGCCAAAACTAGGCCCTTCAGACTCCTTAATCACATCTCTCTCCTGGGTTTGTTTGTGTTGCCTAAATTGCTGCCTGCTAGGTCCTAACATCCCCCCGTGCCACGGTTGCCACGGAAACAGAAAGCCACAAGCGCACTAAGAAGGCTTTGGATCCTACTCAGCAGGTCTCTTCATCCGCACCGCCCGACAAGAAGGGCCGAACCCAGCGGGCCAGCTCAGTCCCCGTCCGGTCCCATCTACGCCCCCATTCTTGGGTTCTGTCAGCTTCACAGAGGAGCCATTACACCCGGGCCGCCACCTCATTCCTCATTTCGACCCATCAAGGCAAACAAGTTCAGCTCTCCACAGAGTGAAAGGAGGCACAGAACAGGAGCAGTAAACAGTTTAAGGAGATCACTGTGAGGCTGATATTATATATCCACTCCATCTGTGGCTTACTATACCTTGGCAGAAAGATGGCATTGTGGAGGAAGTTCTCAAAAACTTTAAGAAAGACGCGGTCATCTTTCTCCCGGTCCTTCTCCTCGGGTGTCTTCTGGCAAGCACAGCATGGGCCCTTCTCTGCCCCTGCCAGGTCTGACTTGGTGGGCTTGGTGTTCTCTTCCATGTCCGTGAGCCCTGTGGCTGGGATACGGATCGGGATCTTCAGCTCTGTTTTAGGAGAAACCAAGAGTTTAGGGATGGGCAGCAATCTTATATAACATATTTAACATACAGGCATGAGAGCTCAGAGAATACAAAAGATGGTTATTGTTTTATAGAACGAGTAACACAGACCTTTGGAGCAGTAGTTGTGTTGGTACAGCTCCCTGTCCTCAGGCTGCTGCTGCCAGCGGACAAGGTAGTAGGTCAGGTTGCCGTTGGGAAAAGCTGGAGGTGACCACTTTACCACCAGCTTGGTTGAGGAGTTGGCAAATGCACGGGCGTCTTTGGGCATAGACGGCACTGCAACAGAGTCAAAGTCATGGTATGTTATATTAAAATGATGTTGCCTGTTCAGGTACAGTAATTAGTAAGAGGATTGCATTACCATCACAAATTTACAAACAGCATTAGAAATAATCAACAACTGCAGTATTGGACTGATAGTCAGACTTACTCGATGGGCGTGTGCGAATGTAGATTATATCACTCTTTGCCCCAGTAATGTGTTTGTCCTCCACCTGCAAGGTAATGGCCTTCACAAAAATAGCATACTGGGTCCAGGGCTTAAGGTGATGAATAGTGACTTCTGGGTCAATGTTTTTATCCTGAGGGAGATCCACATCCACCATGTGCCAGCTGTTTGAGCCACAGCCATCCTGGCCGTCAAACTCTGTGATGTTCTGGAAAGGGCTGGTGAAGACACAAAACATGGCTGTGACATTTACAAAAAAATTACATTTACTCCTCTCAGAACTAACAGTTGGTATGAAAGTAAAACACAGACTGTGCCAATGGGTTTTCATATTTTAGGCCATTATTTACAAATGTTGTGTATTTTACATGACTGCCAACCACTTTCCAAAGCATACCATTCAGTTTTTGATTGATTATCAACCTTCGAGGTTACCAATTGTTTCACTGTGTTCCAGCTGAATAAGAAAATCTGACAGGTAATTAAACCAACCGATCTCAAAACAGTAAGCACACATGGATGTTGTGAATAGGATGTTGTAAATTTAGTTTATGTTGCATTAGAGGAATGCTTCTATTTGTTATTGGAAATCAGAATTCCTCAAAAGCAAGAGAAGCTCAAACACCGCCTTTGGAAAATGGTTGGCAGTAATGTGAAGAGTACAGTAAAGTTATTATTGATCGAGGTAAAATATGGAAAACCAAACCGATATGATCATCTAAGATTTTGTCTTCATAAAATTATGGAAATGATTTTGAGAGGAACCCTGTGTGTTTGAAACCTTAAGTTCTGACTTTAAAGAAACATGCCAAAGTAGAGTCTCTGCCCCAATGTAGAGTTAATTATATAATATGATGGTGTTTTAGAAAAGATAATGACTTAGTAGGTGAATGAGGACTCACGACTCCTTGTAGTAGACTATGAAGCTGATAAGGTCTCCATAGTCCGGTGGCTGGTAGCGCTCCCATATCATCCTGACCTTATGGCTTGATGTATTGTTGGACTTGAACTTCAAGATGTGACTTTCACCTGTATTGTCAGAGCAGGACCCTCAATGAGACACATGTAAAAAATGAAGAAACCTATCCTTGGTTTTTAATGACCTCCGTCATTGAATTAAATCACAGATTGTTTCTTCTTTAACGATCACTCACAACAAAAACTTCAAAATCTGTCAAAGTCTATATGAGTATACTCACAGCTGGCTCTTTCACCATTGTTACGGAAGTCCCCCTCCTCTGGCTTCACAGTTATGTTCGTCTTTTCCCACATCTTGTGGATCTCAGACATGCAGAGTTTGGGGTTCCGACGGAAGAAGAGACGTCCATTCAGAATGGTCAGGTTGTGCTGGCTCCAGTCCCACAAATACTGCAAGTGCTGGTTGTTGATGGCGGAGAACGCATACATGCTGATAATGGGAGGAGATCAAGAGGAGGTTAAAACCATCTCATAGAGATCAACAAAATGTGTTTTTTATGGTTTCATGGAAGGTGAAGTGTTGGGGCATGTGGCTAAAAAAAGTTTTGCCACCTGGTGGCAACGTTAAGCACTACCAGAGTTGTGCATTACATGAGCTCAGGTATGTATGACAACGAGCCTGGGTTTGTAAAGAGGACATGAAACAGAAACGGTGCCATGCTAACACTGAGCACCAGCAGACCAAGTAACACAAACAGAACACCTCCAGAGCAAAGGGAATGCCTGCCATCCTCAACAGCATTCCTCTGAGTGAAACTTTACCCTGGGAGAAACGACAACAAGAAGGGCGACAGGATTTCCCACGACCCCTTTGGCCATTACCAAAAAAACTTTCCCTCATATCTAAGACTGCTGCTGATAGCAGAGATAAGGCAGGGGTGACAGACCTGAGACTTTCCATTCAGCTTTGTAGCCATACTCACTTATCTAGCTCGTCTGAATGATTTCTTTTACATTTATGTTCACATCCACCATCCAGTACAGACGCTCATTCAACAAGAAGTCACTCTGACATTTATGTAACTTCAATGATATGTTGGTGGCAGCCTCCCTACTGGGCTGTGGTTTGCTCATGTCCTCTTATTCCCTCAGTCACCGCACACAAGCATGCACACATTTACAAGCAAAATGTGCAGACAAACAGCGCAGACGAGCCATACTTGTCGATGAGTTCCTGCCCATTGATGTAACGCAGGCTCTTGAGGAAGGACAGCGAGCCAAGTGCGTGGGAGTGTCGAATCTTCACATAGCCCGTCACTCTCTGGATCAATCCCATGAAGCTCTCCAGCTCAGACGCTATGTTATCTGAGGACAGGGGATAAACATAAATACATAGTATATGAAAGCTGCATTTTAAAATCCACAGGGACCTCTACTGCTACTGTGACCACCTAGAGTAGCTCTTAATGCAAATATCACAGTGAGCACTTAAAAGTGTTATCATATGGGGAGATTAGCTTGTGAGCCACACGTCAACTGAGCAAATAAACAGCATTATAGCATAATGTGATAATTGGGTTAGAGTGCAGGAAGCAGATGTAATGTTGATTTGGTGGCCCTCATTGTGCCTCCCAGGAGCGTAGACCACCAAGCTCTACTAATTTATGTCTTAGTAATCACAATATACGCTGGCCAGTTATGTGCAACCAACTGTAGAGTTTGGATACAGGATTGCTCTAGCATATTGTATGATAGCCAAAATATTCTATGTAGTGTTGGCTAATCTTTGTGAACACAGAATTACTAGTGTGTATAATCTGCGTGGTTACTGCTGATGTTGTAGTTTTGTCCGCTAAAATTTCCTGGGGTGTAGCATGATCTATAAAGCTACGTTACACTGCAAAATCGACAGTATATGTGGTGTTAAAAGCACTCACTTCCACGGCGAATGTTGATGTCCAGATTGCCTGCAATGATGGTGCAGTCCTTCAGGGACTGAGCAGCATCCACAGAGTCAATCACTGGGGATGTGCAGGGCTTATCACACGGGCCATTGCAGGCACTGCATAACATACTGTATAGAGAAGAAGCAGACGGAATGAGAAGAAAGAGACCTAAGTAAAAACTGTAAAAGAATGAGCAAAAATCTTAACGTGAACTTTTCTACCTCACCCTGAAATCATTCGTCCACTCCCTAGCTCCCAAGCATTCCAAAGGATTCAGGCAAATAAATTCACTGCATGATACAAGGTCACCTCTCACACAGAGAGTTTAATCTTTTATGGGCCCTCATCTGAACTCGTGAGAGAGTGACTCACAGTATTGACCTCAGAGACAAACAGCATTGGTATGGCCAAAAAAATACAGCAACAGCAAGTCGGCATGGAAAGTTTGGGAATTGACGAGACAAAACAGGGCGGAAAAGTTGCGTGGAAAGAAGTTTTCTTATTCTAAGTTAATGTCAAACAAAGGAAATGTCAGGTGGACATTTCAGCGGTGTCTCTTTTTAAAACCTTTTAGTTTTAATTTGTATAATCTACAAGTGCTGAGTGTCACCTTTCACTCTCTCTAAACAGTCAAGGAAAACTAAACTTGAATCATTAAAAGCCCAACATGCTCTTAACCTTTAGCACTTCCAGCTTTGAGACCTACTTTAAGAAAAAGGACCTGTAAGGGCCAGGTCAGGGGAAGGTCAAGCTCAAGGATACTTTATGCAAATGAATTCATTATGCCGAAGTACACAGTGAACACGAGTGGCTTTAGTGTCTGTGAATACTGAAGAGAAACCGTAGTGCTACTCAGAGAAAAAATAACCAGGAAATAATACTGACACCTCTGGCTCTCTCTGTGAAAAAGATCAGGTTATGATCCTGTTCAAATATAGATCTAGAATAATCTAGATCTAGAAAGAATTCTTAGGCCTTGAGAAATCTTAAACATAACGTACGCTTACTTTTAAGCAGCTCTTCCTAATATTTTGTACATTCAGTGTGTCACCTGGCATGGCATTTTTAAGTCATCAGCCCTAAACTCAAAGTGAAGGGTAAGTCTTTACCGATTAGTCTCGTTGCGTGTGAAGCCGGAGGGGCAGTCGGGCATACATTCTCCCCTGTGGATGACAAAGTGAGTGTCACCAGGCAGGTGCACTTGAGAGCACAGGTCCATGGTGATGCAGCGCCAGCCCTCAAACTTGTAGGTGTCTCGGGGACAGTCTGGCACACAGCGACCCTCGTGGTGGTAGTGGACGCAGGCAGAGCAGGCCATGTCGTTGTTGGGCTCGGTACAGCTGCCCAGGCACTGGCTGTGGCAACACTCCCCCTTGTCTGTGCAGGCAAGCTTGCAGTGTCCTGGGCATACTGGAGGAGACAGAGAAAGATGGGGAAGAGGTCAGTTTTGGGTGTGTGTGTGTGTGTGTGTGTCTGTGTGCGTAAACAGTCTGCACGCTATCACAACAAAGTCAAGGATGATAGAGGTCAAAATGATACAAAACTAATACAAAAGCACAGATTGTGATTTAAATTGTCATGTACAAATATGGTAACATATTGGTAACAGGCCAGAAAAAAAATTAAATGAGATTTAAGATACTGTACATACTATATACAGTTACAAGTTTATTAGGTCCAGTGTTTAAATGTATTACATAATACACAGGGGTGATTCATCTCATTTATATAAATGAAGTGGAAAAAAATAATAGAAACACGTGTCAGTATAACACAATACAATTCAGTCTCATCCCAAACTGCAGCCTCCAAAATAATCATAAAGTTGAATCAACGGTTCTCGTTTCAACAAAAAACTAAACAGTATAACCTTCATGAAGGTAGGATTTATTGCCGGACTGTTGTATTAGAAGACATTAGCTTTAGCTAGGTGTACCTAATGAACTCCAGTGTGTAACATTTAAGAGGCTCTATTTGCAGAATTGGAAAATAATATTCATAATTATGATATGATAGGGGCGTTTGCGTTTCGTGGTGACTGTAGTTTGTGTGCATGACATGGAAATGTTGGCAACAAGTGAAGAGGCCAGCAGCAGCGCAGTGGAGCAAAAGGAGAGTCACAGAAGAACTGTAGTGGCAGCAGGGTTAAAAATCTGTGCCATTTGTTTATGTAAAGCGCAGAGCTGGCCTCACTTAATGTGATCACATCTAATGTGATCACCCAAAGTATCTATTCCTTGACAGCAATTTGAAAAACAAATTCCTGCTAGAACATTTATACTCGCCTCTTGTCTTTAAACCAAATCATCAATCAAATCAGTGGATTGGTGAGATAAAAAAAAACACAATATATTATCCTATTTCATTAATATTCCTAAAATGGAACAAAGACTTTGCAGCTTGAACAAAACTCTCACTCTAAGAAAGAACTACTGTACGTCCTTCCAGGCTGTAAGAAAAAAATTACAGTAAAATGATTGCGTGGGGTGTTTCAAATTAAGCTTGAGCAACATGAATAATAGAACCTCCTCACTGTATACTGAGCATCACTGAGAAACCAAAACCCATGACAATATGTTATCAATAACAGCATTTTCCCGTAGCTTGGAACAGACAAATAGTACATTTGACAGATTGTGCATCCCGACAGTTTGTCAGATTTATCTAACAGAGCTTACAAAATGACCATTAATGTATCAGCCTCAAACCCCTAGAGAAGAAGTCTTTCCAAATCCAAACTCTGAGACAGAGAAGACAAAAGTACTGATTCGGGTGAGAAGAAACAAGAAAATTAGATCAGCGCTTGTTTGTAGATTCACCAACTATTTCTGAAAATCTCATCAGCTTTACACTTAAATCAACAGTGACACAGACAAAAGTGGAAAATGGAAAGCATCTGTTTTTAATGTTCAAAAGCATTTTCACTGTAGCCTATTTATAGGAGGAGCACTTCTGAAAAAGCAGATGTAAGGTGAAGAAAGCAGATGACTCCCACTGTTAACTAATCTTGACACACTGCAGGCAGGAGTGTCCTAGTTTCAAATGAGTCCACTCCATAGAAAAAGCACCTGGCGTGTGTGTGTTGTATGTATGAATGATCGTGAAAGGCCTGGTGACAAGGTGTTTTTTGCTAATGATTGTTTCCTTTTGGCGGAGTCTCTCAGATAAAGAGCTGCTCAGGGAAAGACTGAGTCAAGGGTTCGGGTTTCTTTGGGGAATAACAGATAAAAAATCTATCCTTGTTAAAAAATCTGCATTGTTTTGCAATTAGAAATTGTGCAGCCCCCCCCCACGCCCTTGTGTTGTTTGTGTATTTAGAGACTTAAGTGTTTACTATTTATTGTTATGCTCTTTGTTATTGCTGCAAAGCAAATTTCCCCACAGGGGCAATAAAGCTGAATTGAACTACATTGAACTGAAATAAGAGGCACAGCACTCCTGGTTCCTTAGCAACCGCCTCCTGGTGCAAAGCCAGAGCTGGAAGGAAATGTGCACACACACGCAATCATACACTCTCAGACACTAAAACACACATTTCACGACTCTCTTTCATGTGTGTTATTATCATTTGCAAAACTGTGACACCAAAAATTTCACTTCATTGTCTGCAGTGACATTGTTTCAGCCATCATCATAAAGTACAACTGGTTAAGAAGAGTATGCATGTGTGTGTGTGTCTGACATGTGTGCACATGCATCTTGGTATGTGAATATTTTTGTGTGCCGGAGAGAAAGAGGAAAAGGAGATCTGCTTGTTTATTTGCTTTTAAATTAAACACGGGTGTCGGAGCATCGCTGGTTCGCTTTGTGAATCAGTCAAGAGAATGAAGCCGGCTGTTGAGCTAATCTCTTGATGAATATTTCATGTTGCTTTACAAAACATCTGTATAGGTTCAGAACGTGAGCAATGCTGCAGAGCAAGCACACGCTTCCACAGTGCCAACTCCAGCTTGGCTTTGCAGGGGAAAGGGGAACGATCAGTCCCACTCCTGACAGTGTCTCAAATACCTGCCATGCTTTCTCACATTCAGTCAAATCTTATAGTGCAGAGGAGGTGAAATCTGTTTGGAAATTCCATCATACGGTGGCCGACAGGGGCAAATGCACTATATCAGCCCAAAACCTTTCCACCAGGAGAAACATGCTGCAGCTTCAGAAACGCATACCAAAATCCAAAGCAAATACAACAATGGAAACGTGCTGCAGAAGAAAAATGTGCCACGGAAAGCCAAAACAAATATATTGACGGCATACACCCTCCAGAAACAATGCAAGATCAAAAACACATAGAGTCCAAAAATAAATGCAACAGAAAAATGCTCCATATCCAGTGAACACAACAGACATTTTCTGGCCTCAATAGAATAGAAAAGCATAAAAAGCTAAATAAATAAATGAATACAATGTCATTGCACCAGAATAGGGGTAATATTGCACACAAGTTATTCCATGTGAATGTAATTATAAGTATTGCACTTGAAAAATGTGTCTGAAAAAATGTGATTATTCATTTGAGCCAGGTTTTCAGTAGACAGTCTACATATTGCACTTGAGAGGTAATTTCACTGATTGTTGGAGTTAAGTGTTCTTATGGCCCGGGGAAAGAAACTGTTCTTAACTCTGGTGTTCTGTGCTTTGAAGGTCCTGTAGCACCTTCCAGAGGGCAACAGGTCAAACAGGTGGTGACCAGGTGACCAAGTCTTTTAGGGTGTTTTCTGCTGAGGCAACGGGGCGTACAGATTTCTTCCGGAAAGGGCAGAGGGATGTTGATGACCCTCTGAAGAGCTCTTCTGTCTGCTGTTGAGCAGCCACAGTTGTCTGGAACATGTTGTCCATGTATTGAATGTGTTGTGTTTTCTAAATAAAGTTGAAAAAAATAATAGTACAGGGATCTCTCTCTCTCTCTCTCTTGGGCTCTCTCTCTCGGGTCAAAAATCAAGCTGCTCCACTTAGTGCTCCACCTAGGCCGGAGAACTTTAGTTGTGTTGACTGGATATGCAGCGTTTTTGAGGCATTTAGCTTGTGTGTTTTGAGTTTGTATCGTTTCTGTATTTGCAGCATGTTTGCTGTTAATGTATTTGTTTTGGCTTTCCCACGCGTTTTTTCAATTGCAGCACATTTCCGTTGATGTATTTGTTTTGGTATGTGCTTTTGAATTGGCATCGTTTCTTAAGCTGCAGCACGTTTCTCCTAATGGAAATGTTTTGGACCATTGTAGCGCATTTACCCTTATCAAACAGAAAAAACAAACAAAAAAATCTAATCTTATGCAGTAGACTTGATGGTAAACAGTAGATTGTTCAATACACTGCAGCGTGTCAGGACTTTCCAAAAACTTAACTGTCTGTAGGACCTTGAAATTACACAGCAATTACTGCGCTGAAGAGTATTTTAGTGATGCCATGAGTAAGTAGAGTATTTAGCTATATAGCCTTTCCTGTGCTATGTATAACTTCACACTACATACATACCGTGAGCTGACTTGCTCTGTGGTACTTCATGAATAGGGTATCTAACTATTCTGGATCTGGTCCAAAGAAAATGGCAAAGATCTTTTTTTAAAACGAGAGAATCAAATGCCAACACACACAGGTTCTCACATGGCAGCTGTGATTTGATTGGAAATATGACGCTGACATTAGTGAGTTTAAAGCACGCGGATCAGTGTTGCACATTTGCAGAGTGAGAAGAGAAAAAAAAGGGAGAAACATCAGCGCGGCTTAATATTCTTGGAATCCTACCAAAAGGGGGCAGCCAAGGCAAACTCTAATGAGCCTTATTGGAGGAGGTCCCTTTCCTTCTGCATCATTTTAACAGATTCCTCAATGAAGAGAAATTCCAAACATGCATACCTTCCGCCAGAAGAAAGCAGAGGGAGGGGGAGCTACTGCCTTAAATCCATATAAGTCGACCCGGTTTCACTGTGTGACCAAACAACCCGTGGTATCAAGGATACAATCCACTATTTATAGATGCTCCTAATGCGGCCCTATTTCCACGCTGCTGCTCTCTACACATAGCTATGCAGGGCATTGTGGGTTTCCACTACTTCAAAGGAAAGGGACTACCTAACAAGGGGCTCCTCTTAAGATAAGTCGTCATCATCCTTGTAGTCCCCTGAGTGGATGTTAAATATGAGCAGGAATAAATTAGAAGCATCAGCACATTGAGATTTGACCCTGTTTAAGTACATGCTGCATTACATTTAGCAACTGTTGAAAGACAAGATGGCAGAGAATAAACTGTAAAAACAAAAACTGACAATGATCTGAGGCTGCAGAGTCAAATAAGTCAAACTGCTGGGAGTGGGGGTAGGGAGGTTTATGATGTTGTTCCTCTCATACAGTAGTTACACAACCCCCCTCCCTCCTGCTCTTTCCCTGAGCAAACACAGTCAGGTCAGACACCAT